AACGAAGCACAAGTCAAAAGGACTGGTATTCAGTAATATATTCGTAGAAGCAACTTATTTAATGAGAATTAATGTAGTAGTAGTTAATAGTGGAAAAATTAATTTAACTTATCTGGCTAGTATTTCTGAACTAGGCACTCTGAGTATGTGAATATTAACCAGCACAAAGAGAGTGCAAAATGACGTCGAAGCCTTCTCGGATGCATGCTTGTTAAAACAAAACTTAAAACACCTTAAGCAGCGGGAGGACAGCTAGAGGTTTATTTAGTTAGTTTAATTTAATCTATTTGTTTAACCCATATTTAACCCCCACCTTTAGTTCTTTTTCTGCGGCTGGTAATCGAGACCTCACTTCTTCCTCTGCTTCTCGTTTGTGATTCTACCAACTAGAGAGAAATTCTTACGTACCAGCTTTCCAGTTCCTATTATTTTGTGAGTGTTTTTCAGGATAAAATCCTCCCGTGTTGAGTTGACCATGATTTTACCCAGCCAAAATCTGTTTTTGGCAGCAACTGTCTTTTTTGCCTTGAGTAGAGTGAACCAGACATGTTTTCCACCAGCATCTTGATTAATAAACTTCGTGGCCTACCAAGATCATTTTCGAAACGGTCACTTGGCTCCGAGTCATTACTTTCTTCAAGTCTGTGGGAGGTAACAAACTTTCACAGAGTTCTGTTTTGTTTTTTCTGTATATACCTGCTTCTCTTTACTATGTGTACATTTTCCTTTATCGATATCAACATACTTTTTAGGTGGCTTTCGCACTCGGGTATCATTTTGCCATGGGATATTTTCCAGGTTCTGTACAGCAACATGTATACCAACGAATGCTGTATCTTTATCACTATCACAATCGTTAGCCTTCATTTTGGGTGCTGGCTTCTTCTTCTTGGTATTTAGAAATGGTTTTACTTACTCATTCAACCCGTGAATATCTCAGCAGTACGATTGACAAACCCAGATGCTCACTGAATTACAATACTTTTCGAGTACTGCAGGGTTAAGACTCATGGGATTTTCATGGTATTAAATTTTAAATTCATCACACTGAGTACCGAAGATTACCTCGAAATGGAACCGCGGACTACCACCAGCATTTCTGGGACAATTTTCATTGACCATCTCTCGTAGATTTCGGTCAATGTTAATAAAAATAGGTGACAAGTTGGCTGGATAACGAGAAACAATGGTACAAAGACAGTTTACACTGAAGTAAGAGGTACTTCAAACTAATCGGTGAGTAAATACGAGAAAATCACCCAAAAAGGAATCCCTCTTATTTTGAGCAAAGATTAGTTTGATCAGGGCAAGAACAAAATTGGCTTTGATATTTAAACACAAAATGGCGGAGATTTAACAGGGCCTGAAAAAATGACTTCCTTTTTTAAACTGCACTCAAGTACATCTGAATAAAGTTAACTGAGGTAGACAACAGATTAACCAGCTCATAAAGGTGTATGTCGGCCTTGAAATAAGAACAACCATGACTCAAACTAGACTCAAAACAGCTGTAATTCTGGCAAGGAAAATATTTGCAAACATAAAACGTATGGTCCTATGTTGATAATGATGATGATGATGATGAAACGTATGAAGAGCCGTTTGCACTGAAAAAGTAGGTGAGTACTCATAAAATTCATCCAAAAAATTCTGTTTTTCCTTGATCGAAAATAACTTCATGTAAAGGACAAACACAATACTTTTAGTGTCCAAATACAACAAATACCAGGGAATAAACTGTATGTAGAAAACTGTATTTACGCAGAACGTGTTGTCTGGCGTTCTTCACAATTTCATTCTAACAGCAGATGGAAACGTCTGTCTTTTTAGGGGAACTTTATTGACCTAATAATAAAATAAAGTGAATTTAAGTGTGTTACCTGTTGCCTAACAAAAAGCCTAACATTTCTGGTGTATATATATACTACCGACACCATAACTTCAATGTACTTCGGTTGATTCATAGTGCTCTTAACTCGCGTTACCATGATATGTGTATGAACAGTGAAGAGAGTAGTGCACTAGCTGGCTCGTCTAGAATATATGCTGTCTTCATGGTCATCAAGAAGCGATGAGACTGCATAAGACAACATTTTTCATCTTAGTCACGACAACAAGGCTTACAATAATTCGACAGATGTGTGAAATATTCAGCGACAAATTCGCAGTTAGTTATCTGGATCCTATAACTCTTTCCTGTAATACCAATGCGGTCTGCAGCATAAAAAACTATCCTTTTGTTCCAATAACGCCAATAGGTACTGCTGAATTCACATATCCTGTTATTTTCCAAGCCATTGAAATGCTAACGTACTCTGACAGCGGTGGAACAGGCGTAGTCCTATAAATATTGCGGCCCAGAAATTCCAGTACTACTATCTAAAATACAGAATCTTTCACCTACCCTAATATAAAAAAAATCAATCGTCCTACCTAGATATAAATCCGGTTCAAAAACATTAACTAGTAACTATTGCCTAATAAATATAACGCCAGTAGTTCCCAAAATCATAGAAAAAGTTGTTTAGGGAGGCATTCTTCAGCACGCGCTTAGTGAAATCACATCCAGTCAACATGGTTTCCTGAAGTAAAGAACCTGGGGGACTTTAAAGACCATCCAAGGAACAACTGAAGTGAACAATTAAACTTCTGTGTTTTATGAAAATCCGCCTTTCCAGACGAAATAACGAAACGTGATTAGTTATTTCGATCGTTACTAGGGTGGCCTTTAAAGTGGGCGCGAGATCCTGTATAACTTCTAAGTATTAGTACAAAGTGAGATTGACATAATGTCCAAATGGTCTACCGCTTGAAAACTCCAGTTCAACACAGGCAAGTGTGGATGGATATGTTTTGGTGGTCCCATGACATACGTTCAGCCACACCTTCACTCAATGAAACTACCTGTTCCTAAAAGCGTCTCTGACTCTGGATTAAGGTTCCTAGATGACCTGACGTTTTCAGAACAGGTTGCACCACAGACTTGTCAATCTAGAATCCTATTGGGATACATAATTCGTAACGTCTACTTCAAAGACATCAAGTTAATGGTCTAATAAACTTGGGTATGTCCATTGCTAGAGTACTGTCCCTTTATTTACTCTTTGATGAAAAACTGAAAATAGAGGGTGTAGAAAGACACTTTGCATCTAGATTACTAGGATAGGAGTGCGAGCAGGACTACAAGTCCAGATACATGACTCTAAATCTAGAACCACTTTGGATGAGACGATTCAAAACCAACCTCACGCTTTTCCTCAGTGTACTGGACAAATTAATCTTTACAGCCAGTGGTGATTTCCATTTCGAACACAACAGTTATTATGATCTGCGCGACCACGCCTACAGCGTCACACTGAAGCCTTTTAAATCCTCACTCCATGCGAATGCTTTCGTTGTAAAGTTCTCATATTTCTAACAGGTTTCCTGTCGGAGTTAAGGTCTCCAAATCAATCCCTGTATTTACTCGGTTACTATAATAACCAAAGAAAATGAATTCTTTACCTCCAGGAACTCATTATCGTGACTGAAGAAATTCCCTTTGGTATGCTTCGAGACAAAACAGCATTCCCCAATACATGGAGATAATCCATTTTCAGTAAAAACGCTTTGAATTATAAACAGTTGCATCATGAAACAGTCTTGTTATATTGAATATGTATTATGTTGCGATACATATCAGTGTATTAAACGCTTAATGGATAATGTGCTAGTAGGTTACACAATTATCACCATCTGGTGCCTAATCTATTACGAGTAACTCTCAGAGCCATCCTAACAACTACTGAAATAGGTATTTTTATTTTATGATGAAACTAATTTCCTAGCCAAAACAAAGAAATCTGATTGGTTATTTCACCAGTTGTTAGGGTGGCATTTGGAATCGTTCATCAATTACACTTTTTAGACGGCAAAAATCGCTTATGATTCAAATAAAAAGTTAAACCTACAGGCAAAATGTCCATTATTAAGAGCTGTTGAAGAACGTCGTAACATGTGGGTGTTGACAGTCAGACGAGATGACACTCCAAGTGTGTCGTATGTGGTTAACGTTTTACAGTGGTAAATATGAAAAATATTCCTACTGGCATAATTAGACAAAACTATACAGACTGCTCTGGTTTGTGAAAATTTCTGTATGAAGTTGAACATTATCTTCGATGAACAATTTGAGGGTAGTGTCTAGATTGATAGTGAAACTTAAAATCGATATTACGTGTGGCAGCTGTCGGTTACCATATATAATGTGTTGATATGCTTAGCATTTCGGCAGAACATAGATTCTTGTGACTACTCACCACATACGGAACTGATGTGTGAATCAAAGATGCATGTCTAACCTAAATTCTCAACTAGACTTCGGTTTATGTGACCTAAATGAGTCATTACAATTGCATTGGTTATTTATATGTAAACTATAATGACAAATCTCATGCTCTTTTAAATACGTATCTTTGAGAATATGCGATTGATTTGTGCACCGTAAGGATAATATGCCTGTCTGAGTTCTTGGACAGTGTGTTGATACAAATTATAATTCTTGTTTTATTTGTGTCATCTTGGATTACAAGTTTGAATTTAGCACTAAATGTGGAAATTAACTCATAATTCAATTTTAAAAACAGGACATCATTTGGTGACCGGTTCATACTTACAGCTAATACCTTCAATCGTCAAATTGTGGTCTCAACAAATTAGCGCTAAATCTTCAAATTCGACAATGAATGGCTTAAATTCGAATCTCTGACGGAATATGAATTTCCTCAACGTTACACATACGCCTGTTGGTGAGTGATAACAAATAGTAAATCAAGTTCTAGGGTTTTCTGTCAATTACTTTTCAACAGTTTACTACGGGAACATGCCACTTAACTTATTAATCACTTTGCAAACTTGAGCGATAAGTACCAATCAGCATCCAAATCCTGATGAACAGATCAACATAGGTTACCATCTGGTAACCTACCTTCGTACATAGTCCAATCCAAAAGAGGATCAGTCATGATTTAAATAGTTTAGCGATTTCAGAATAAATGTCTGACACTAACCATATATAAAACTACATAAATTTATTACTGTTACGGTTAGACTAAAAATGTCCATTTATTATAAAAGTAGATAATAAATTCTTATTCACAGAGATATGCAAGAAGAATACTGAGTAAAAAAAAGGAGAACTTTCACGCAGAGATAGAATACAAAGCAATAAGATAAGCACACCATTAGAAGTTTGAATATGACACATATGTGTACAAATGCATCCTAATATCACAACTTGAAAAACGGTGAATAGATACATTTTCGAGTAAAAGAAAGAAGATATCTATAGTTAAACATATTCGAAGGGGGAATTATTGTCAAAAGAAAAGAGGAAGAAGACGTGAACAGTGAAGTAATTTACAAGTAGAAATTTGTAGACTATGAAATATTTAGTTTAAATCCTGATATACGAATGGGTGTTTGCCCAGGAAAGTAGCTATTAGCGACACGAGCTGCTTCACGCAAACCGCTTAAAAGTGCACCATGAACAGTTGCAGGATAACACCGACAAGTATGTTCTCCAGCAAAAAATATCCGAGGAATTTGTGTGGGAGAACTTTCATCCTCTTGTAATGGCTCCGAAGAGATTTTCGATTGTTTCTCACTAGAAACCTCATAAGTAGGAGGGGATACCGGTTCACCCAGAATATCATAGTCCGCCCCACTGGCACCAACGGCAACATACGAGTATGATCCACGTGAGTCAGGATCAGAATTCCATCGACTGACGTATGCGTCAATTGGCTAAAAAAGTAGTTTAATGACATGGAAGTTTTTAGGTAAAAATATGGAAAATGGCTAAAAACCTATCTGTAATTAGTGTATATCTAAAGCAGTATGTTATAAAACACGACAATGATCATTCAGTTAGTCCTCTTTTCAATAAAATATGTTTTACATGTCTGAGTTACATTACTAAAGTACAGTTTTAAACACTTGAGGACCAATACTATTACTTGACTATCCATACCTTAGTTCATAGACTGAGGTTCACATCCATAATACATCAGGTGAAAGCTAGGTGCCTGTCTAACTAAGTAAGTCACTATTCCAACTCAGTTCACCCGAATTAAAGTTAGGAGACCAAGCAGTAATCTGTCGATAAAAGTATTTACTCCCGCAATATATGTATAATCAGCAGTAACAACAATAGCGTTAAAAGTTGATTACATAGGGGTGGATCTCTGAGACAAATGAGGTTTCCCATGGAAACTGATGAGACAAAGTCACAAATGTTTCTCACAAGCTTGAGTGTAAGAATGATGAAAACTAACGAGAAAAATATCACATGGAACTGCTTTCTTAACACAGATTTATTATTTCCACCTACTACAGATGCTTAGTTTTTTCATGAAGTAATACTACCGAGGAAACTTTGTTTTACTTATACGAGATTCGTGTATTTTGAAGGTACAAAAGATTCATTGAACGCACTGTGATTCTTAATTATAACACACAGAAGAATACATTCATGAAACTGAAATATGCTATTTATATGTTAAGCAGTGCTATTATGTGGATATATCAAAAAGAGAATGTTACAAATAATAACAACCTTGAAAATAAACTCCAAAATGAAATTCAATAGGTTAAAAAAAAACTGCTGAAGGTCATGCATAAACTGTGGCTGACTTGTTTGAGGATACAAGTTAGTAATCCACAGTTTTTCGGCAGAAGATGCACATCATAAAAAACCTAGAGATTTAAGAGCCCCTTTTAATATACTCTGAATATAATCCAGTTTAGTGACTGGATGAACAAAAGCATTAGAAAGAAATTATTAGAACAATATATGTATGACAAGTAGCAAACATTTGCTTCAAAATTATGACACTTGCTAAAAGCAACTCAGTATCCCACAAATACGGCCTTCACCATCATCATCATCATCATTATCAACATAGGACCAGGCATTACTGCGTAACGGTCCGACTGGCCACACCTCACGTCAGTTCATCAAGTAGAAAGGTAGTGAGGTGAAGGATGAAGATAAGTGAATGTAGTCAAAAGAAATATAAAGTACGAGAAGAAAGGAAAGAGGAGTGACAAAATGGTGAGATTCGGTATAGCGTTGTTAAGATTAGGATAATGTGTGTATACATCTGCGCCACTGACATCGGTTCTCAGCCATATCACCTAGGGTCTCCAACCACTGGTTCCTCTTGTCCCACGGACCCCAACCACCTGGTCTGCATCGTCCTACATGGCTTAAACCAACAGTCAGAGACTTCATACATTGCTGCCATGTTTTAGTCTGGCCACCTCGGGCCTTTTTCCAGTCTGGACCTACCTCAGCCAACATTGTGTGACGAGGCAATCGGTGACTAGGCATACGTAGTACGTGTCCCAACCATCTCAGTCGATGAAGGTTCACAATCTCGTCAACTGACTTACCTCTTCTCCCTGAAACTCTACACCTGACTTCTGCATTACTCGCATGGTGACACCACGGAATACGTCCTATACTACGAAGGCAATGGTGGTCAAACACCTGAAGCCTTTTTATATCTTCCACTTTCAATGGCCATGTTTCACAGCCATACAGTAGAACAGAGCGGACTGCTGTGCAGTACACGCGACCCTTAATAGACAAACGAATATCACGGCGGCCTTCACCAAGGCTACTGTTATTGTTGTTATGGAGTTATGACGATGGTAAATCTGAGAAGTCAAGTGTAAATGATGCCGTACACATCTAACCTACTTTGACTTAAATAAACCTCATTATTACAGTAACAAATTGATCTTAGCGTTATCATTGACATGTAAGATTTGTTATATCAGAACTATAAAACTTGAAAGCGAGATCGTTGTATGACTCTCTTATACACGCAGCACGTTTTCCATAGTCGAAAATCAAAGCAACAAGTAGGACGTGTGCAAGTAATCACATTTAATAATGATTACTAATTTCAAGTTGGTATTCATCATGGACTGACACCACTTGGAGGAACATTAGAAACCTGGAAGCACTGAACAGCTGTTTTTTCCTAGTATGGGACTTCTCAGCAGTGCCCACCCATGACCCCGTCTCACCAGGAATTGAACCCAGGCCCTTCATGTTTCGTATCCAGCCCGTTACCATTGAGCCCCTGAGTCAGTTCACGATATAGCGGGACCTACATCCAATGTCATTGTTTAGTATTTGTCCTCACGTCCACCAGGTTCGCCCCACCGGTCACGGACATTGTATGATGGTCGCACAATGTCGTGAACTGACAGAAGTAGGAACTATGGACCATTAAATTCCGACCCATTGACACAATGGCAACGTGCTGACCATGGAACCTTAAGGCCTAGGCTTCGATCCCTGATGGGGTGGGGTCATGGGCGGGCACTGCTGAGGAGTCCCATACCAGGACGAAACAGCTGTCCAATGCTCCCAGGTTTCCAATGTTCCTTCAAGCGATGTCAGTCCATGATAAATTCCAACTTGAAATCAATAAATCCCCACAAACCCCTAGACTAAATGACTACTAACTCAAAAACACGGTGGTGTAGTATAAGCCCAGTTCTAGCTGGTGAAGACGACTCAAATAGAGGAAGGCTGGTCTGGTAGGTGTACTAAAGTATACTATTACTGTAGCATGACATTTGAGGAGACTGTAAGAAGCTGCCAATAAGCGTAGGTATATGAAAAATAAGACAAAGCTGACATGGGAAATAATGTCGTGGAAATAAATGTTACGTGGCATTTCAATAGAGGAATTCAAACAAACTGGATGCATAACAATTAAAGGGGAAGATATGAATATATCTTTGCTAGTTATTCCTACTGCAGGATGCAAGGTGAATGTATATTAATGATGGATAGTGACTAGCAATGGAATTTAGGACACACGTTTCGTTCTATTTGGGACTCGTCAGCTGCATGTACCTGCTTCCTAGTGAGTGATGTTGTTTCCACTAAGACTGAAACAAGCAAAAACATTAAAAGGGGAATGTCCTAATCACTGTTATTTCAAGTCATTTACGGTTCCAGTAGGAGAAAAAAACTTGATGATAATTCTACACTACTCGATTTAGAATACCAGATATGACTGACTGACAAAATCAACGTAGAACTCACACAAGTGCATCGGCTCAACTTACCACACTTCACAGGTGTATACAAGGAACAAGTGGCTAGAATGAGATTGATATCAAAGAGGATAAAGTAGTATGAGAGAATAAACAATCTGAGAATAAAAGTTAGCGTGAATATTTAAGCTTTAGATGTCAACGAGTGAATACACCTGTGCTATTGTAACCAATTTTCAGCCATACCATCAAGAGTTCTTAACCACTGGTTCCTTTCATTTCTGTACATAATTATATCAAGTAACGAGAAATTCGTAGAACCAAAGGTGTCAATTTGGATCGAAGAATCAATTCACTCTACTTTCTGGTGATATGCAGTGAACAATACAAACTGTAGAACAACTAATTCATAAAGTTCTTGCTCATTTGATGAGCTATCTTTTCCATAAGGAAATATTATTATTATTAGTTCAAACACACATACATAGTATTTCCAGCACCAATGATTATTACCATACACAGAAGGTAATACTTGCTGAATAAATTATTGATAAAACAAGTGGTTATTGAAAAATAATTTAAAACTTACGTTTGGTATGGCAGCTTTTTTCTTTTCTGCATTATTGTGGATTCCATTACAGTTATTATTACTACTGTTACTACTACCACTACCTTCATGACTGAATATACCACGGAGAATTTGCATAGCCCTGCCAACGATAGGTTCTTTAACTCCACGACCTAGTAAACTAGATGTGGCCGAACTGCCTACTAAAGTCTGGGTTTTAGATCCTGGAGATATTCGACGTGTTGGTGAATTTTTCTCATTTTCTAAATCAATGCAGCTCGACCAGCAACTAGAGCTATCAATACAGGCTTATCAGTAATCGACCAGAACAGAAATAACTCTCCTCTTGAGTTTGTAGATCCATTAATATGTCCAAACAGATTGTGTGAACGATCCCAGAAACACTTTTCGAATATGAGCACCACCTAAAGAAACAGAAGAAAAGAAGTGCATCCTGTGAATAGTAGTAGAGAACGGTTACAGTACAGATGAATTAAGTCATAAAAAATTACAAGAACATTTTTGAGTAGTGATAAGTTGCTATAAAGGTATGAATATAAGCACTAAATTGTGCTGGAAACGTCATCTAGTAAATGCTGTATCAAACAGACTCAAAATTCATCCAGCAACCTTGTGCCGATCCGTACAGTAGACAGTGAGCCACATATACTGTGTCAGGGGGCTAACGATGCTATTTCGCTGGCTAAACTTCGATAGATGGAGCAGGGTTCGAGCACGTGTCTTATCGGTTGGAAATGAAGGGTCTACACCAATGGGCCACAGCTCCTAATAGACTAATCCAATATGAAATTAAACTCTAAAATACTGTCCAAATTTCATACATACATTTATCTGGATACAATTCAGCTACTGTGTACATAATATCTCAGTTACTGTAAACATTTTAAGACTTTAATGTAAGCGTAGAATTTCTACACTGTAGTAAAATGTAATCCTATATTAGATTTCACATGACGATATGGTTGACCATTGAAATTCATTGAAAATGAGTCGTCTAAAATATTATTCAACTGATAATTCTGCTTTACGATGTAAAGTAACCTAGGAGAATTATTCATACATTCTTATTATTTAAATTTATCACCGAAGTAAAGTACACAAAAAAGTTACGAACTTGGGAAGTGAAACTCCCTCCTCAGAGTTATAACCCTACTATTACTTACCTATTATTTAACAGTTAACAGTACTTTTAATGTTGATGCTTGTACTATCTCGTCGTTGAATGGACCGAATAGATCGGTCTCTATAGGCAGATGGGCTACTGTGCAAATGCCTCGATATTACCTGTGTTTGAATTATGCAATAATGATGGACAGTGGACAGCTGTGGAACCCAGGACGCACGTTTCGTCCCATTTGGGGACTCGTCAGCTGGGTGTATCTGCCTCTCAGTGGGTGATGTTGCTTCCACTAAAACCGATCGTTTCAAATGCCACTCAACAACGGGATAACCCAAGCAACAACATTAAAACTACACTCATCGCAAAAAAGTAGCTATCATGACTCGGTGGCCTAGTAAATAACGCTCTGCCGTTTGAAGCAATCGGACCAGAATCCCCAGACCTACTGGGAGGACTATCGTCCACTAGGACGCAGATAGATCCAGCTGATAAGTCCCAAATAGGATGAAAAGCTCATCCTGGATCCCACTGCTGGTCACTATCCATCCTTAATATTGAACAGTAGTTTGTCAAAAATGGTAACAATCAATGTGACATCAATACCATAAGCTGTAGTTCTCATTGAGAAATAATCAAAATTGTTACGAATCGTGAAAATCAATCAGAATATGACGGAAATCGCAAGAAGATTAGTATGTGCACATCCAAATAATTGACGACTTGGATTTCGCCGATGACTTGTGCCTGATGTCACACAAACTTGAAGATCTACAGGCAAAAACTAACAAATTGACAGAAGAAGCAGCGAAGACGGGACTTCAAGTGAATATAGAGAAGACAGAAGTGATGAAGATACCGCACCACCACCATCAACAACAACAACAAACTCCAATCACCATCAACGGGAGAAACTTAAAGGAAGTAACCTCCTTCACCTATCTAGGCAGCACTGTTTCAACTACAGGCGCCACATGCACAGACGAGGATGTCAAAGTCAGAATCAGAAAAGCAAGACAGGTGTTCATTAGCCTGAAACCAGTGTGGAGATCTTCTGCACTGCACTCAGCATGCGGAACAAGATACGGATTTTCAACACCAACGTCAAGTCAGTGCTTCTGTATGGTTCAGAGACTTGGCGCGTTACGAAAGGGATTTCCAATAAACTACAGACATTCATCAACAACTGCTTACGCTGGCTCGTTACTGAAGATCAGATGGCCAGAGTAATAAGAATAAGCAACAAGGAGCTCTGGCAACGAACCAACCAACAACCTATCACACAACAAATATGCAGGAGGAAGTGGAGATGGATTGGACAGGCACTGAGAAGGCTGACTGGGGACATCACGCGTCAGGCCAGTTGCTCGAGTGGAATCCCCATGGGAAGCGACGAGTTGGGCGTCCCAGCTGAGGGTGACATGGAGGAGATCGTGCGAGGAGGAAATGAGAGCTTCTGGGCTGTCGTGGAACCAGGTTCAAAAGATCTCAGAGAACAGAGGTTACTGGAGACGTGCTACTGAAGCCCTATGTTCTATTAGGAACCGAAGGGACTAATAATAATAATAATAAACATACAAATAATTAGATACGACAGTTTGTCCGTGAAAATCAAAGAAATTGGGTGACAGGAGAATACTGATTTCCAACCGCTAAAGAAACTTCAAAGCACAAACAAAATATCAAAAATAAATACAAACTTATTCCTCCCTGGAATCGGAGAGACGAAATGACGCCAGTTGGTGAAAGCCCTCGGAAAGCCAATTGGCCAATGTGTCTTCGCTTCTCTCAATGAAAGTGAAAGTAAACATGGAAACATGCAATGTCCACACCATGTATGAACCTACCAAGGCTGCCCAGATTGTAAAGGAGATGAGAAGGTATAGCATTGAAGTGCTAGAAATCTGCGAAACCAAGTGGAATAGAAGTGGACTCTCCAAACTGTCAACTGGAGAGGCGTCGATAATCGACTCCGATATTGTCACTCACACGACAACCACCAGCACACTAAGGGAGTGGTTATCGAATCAAGTTGAAAGCCTTCACACAAGTTGGTGACAGACCACAGTTCAAGTTCAACACCCTAAAAAGAAACTGAAGCACCAAACTACAAAGAAAATCTTCAAGTCGGCCATCAGGACAAAATGGGAGATATCCAGCAACATCCCTGAACAAACCTGTGTGGATGAACACTGGATCTCCTTGGAAGAAATGTGGAAGGAAACCTGCACAATCGTGTTACGAGGGAAGAAGAAAGAAGATGGGGAATGGATCTCGATGGACACATGGAAGCTGATAGACCAGAGGAGGATGGAGAAGCAGAAGACAAACCAGTGCAGTGCAGGGATGAACCACGAAAAGAGGAACTGAATACAACGCATAAAACACTGGACAAAGAAGTGAAGAAGAGTGCACGCAAAGACAAAAGACACTTCCACAACACACTGGATAGTGAAGCAGAAAAGGCCGCTGCAGGTAGGAGAGACAGAGACCTGACAACATTATATCAAATAACCAGGCTACTATCTACCTCGAAGGGGACACATCAACACAGATGAAACCAGTAAAAGATGATGAAGGAAAGCTAATTACCAAAGAGGAGAAACAAAGGAAACAATGGGCTGACCACTTCAAAACGCTCTCGAATAGACCACCACCACCACCACCACCTGCACTTCGTCCAGAACAGTGAACACAAGCCCTCTGAAGAAAGTCGAAGTCCTGGACGCCACAAGGCTACTGAAATGCGTGGAAGCAACAGGACCAGATGGAATCCCGCCAGAAGCACTCAGAACAGACACAGGGACAACAGTGGACATGCTCACACCACTACTACAGAAGGTCTGGAAGGAAGGAAAGGTACCTGCAAACTGATTGGAACAACGGCTACCATGTCGAACTCCCGAAGAAGGGTCACCGAAGTCTTTGTAAGAACTGCCGAAGAATCATGCTCCTACCGACACAAAGCAAGCAAAATATTAAGCCGCATCATCCTGGAGAGACTAAACGATGCTCTGCATTCAAAATTACCACCAGAACAGGTTGGCTGGCTGGCTTCAAGAAGAACAAATTAGGTACGGATCAAATTGCAACACTACGCTATGCCTCATCATCGTAGAACAGAGTATAGAATGGCAGTCAACTCAACTCTACCTCAACTTCATCCACTTTGAAAAGGCATTGGATGAAGGCGTCGACCGAGAAGTCATTTGGCAGGCAGCTGCTTCAACACTACGGCTTTAGTGCCACAAACCTTTATCAACCTCATTCAACAACTATATGAAGACGCCACATGCCAGCCAAGTAATTCACAATGGGAAGCTCAGTGATGCCTTTAACAGGAGTAAGACAAGACTGTCTACTATCACCAATGATCCTCCTCATTGTGGTCGACTGGATCATGCCACAAACAACTGTGAGGAACGAGAAGAGAGGCATACGCTAGATCGGGGAAAACATCCCAGAAGGAGATTTGGATTCCACCAACAATAACAACAAGCTTCAATCACCATCAACAGGAGAAACTTAAAGGAAGTAGCCCCTTTCACCTAACAGTTTGAGGCAGAGAAGTAACCAATTTAGTGTATATGAAGCGTGTCTGAGATGCCGAAGTTCGTGCTGTTGAGTGTTTAACTGACTTTGGAATAACATCTTATCAGCACCGCTCACAGTGTAAGTTGATATCAGTGAAGCAAACTTTTTTTATGTGTAGGAAGATCTTATTTCACAATCCATCAACTCCGATAGTCAACAACCTCAGTCACTTCAGTTGCTATTTTTTTTAAATGGTGTCAATACAGGTCAATACTGAAGTACCAGTTTCCATTTAACAAGGGATCAAGGCATCCTAAACACTTACATTGTGCTTCAATATCTACATTATGTTGATGTTTTCGTCTAAAAGAGCAAATTCATCTGCATATCCTAGGTCTATAAGGATTTTATAGAAACGAGATCAACCACCTAAAATAAATTCTGAATTCATCAACATTTCTTCACTTGACAATTTGCATGCTACGTGATCAGTAGTTGCCTCATGTATTGAGCTTAGTGATATTTCAGGTTTGAGTTAATTTACTGCTATTTTGAAGTCTACTCCTTTCTCGAGAACTTTTACTTCAATCAAGTGATTGATCACGTACTTTATTCGATTAGTGTCGTCTCATTTGTAGCTTCTATTCATTTTTGTGGAATATTTATCTTGCATTAGTTTGTTGAACTTCTTAATTTGATTCTTTCTGGATTTGGTGAAAGCAACTGATTTACATTTATTGGATGCTTCAACTAGAATTCCATAGTTTTTCCTGTTTACCATCTTCATCAATCTGCATTTCAGTTGTTCTGTGTCACTAATTTCTTGATAATCCTAAGAAGTTCTTTTCTTAGACATACTTTACTGACTTGTTCTATTACCCTTTCCATTCTGTCTGCTGGAACTGGAGTTCGTAGACGAAGATATTTGTAATAATTTGGCTTCTTATGCATCGAATATTAAAAATATGTTGGTTCGTGTATCGTGTTTCAGTCTGTGAAAGTCGTATGAGTTTATTGACTAGTCTTCGAACAGGAAGACTGTAGGTACAACTCGGGCGATGTGGTAGTGATTTAATTTTATATTACACTGTTTATTTGATATAGCACACAGTGATACATAAAATCAACAATCTAATACGGAATTATATTCTACTACAGTGCTCAAGTTTTACTTAGATAGAGATTTACCATATTATTTGGTAAGCAACCAGTTTCAATTACAAAAGAAAAAAAACAAGCTACAAGGGGTGCTAACTGCCAAAAGTTTTCTGGTCAAAGAGCTAGACTATCATGAACAAATAGCGTTCAGATAACTTAAAAGGAAGGTTTCAATGTATCTTTGATTTTATATACACGCAAATGGTTACTTGGAAACGGAACATATAGATATCAATTATGCTGTTAATAACTGGTAATCAACTGCTAATAATTGTTTTTGGAATATAAAAAAAGATATACAGTTTATACTGGGTGATGACTGAGCGTGAAATGAAAAATGGGACCACGGCCGGATCCCAACCAGCGACTACCGGGTTTCCTGCCCAATGCTCTGCGAAACTACGGCTCACACAGTCAAATGATAATATGATGCTCCCCCACTCTAATTCACTTAGATTTAGATTTGGATAAGAAGTCCTGAGTAAGCAGCCAATGTGAATACGAGCAAGCGGTAGTAACGCGTCACGAATTCACATGGTAGTCGGACAAAACTCTTGGTGATTGGAGTGAAATAAAAATCTGGTCAGAAAATGGACTTTGTAGCTCAGTTGGTAAAGCATCGGACCGGAAACCTGGCTGTCGATGGTTCGAATCCGGCCGCGGTCAAAATTTCCATTTCACCTTCAATCATCACCCAGTATAAATACTAGTCTAGCAAACTACGGTTCAGATAGCCAACTGATAATGAATATACAGTTTGTACACTTAGTTAATGTGATAAATTAGTTGTCAAATCGCAAGTCACTCTTTTGAAATCAAATGTACCACAAGTTTTCTCACATCTTATCATCATTTCATTCAACCAGAAAGTATAGAGTTGATCAGTTAACCTTAAGGCTAGATAACTTCCTTAATTACTCATGTTAGACTATGATATGAGTGAAATAAAACTTGAAAAGCGAGAGAATGTATATGTAACATTTAGAAAAAGACTGTTTGAGTGAAGAGAGATATTTCTTTTCAATTAGGTCTTCATCTTGGGCTCTACACTAATATATTGGTTTACAATTTAATCAAATTACCAATCACGTGGTGATGTTTCGGAAGTAATGATGTAAATAATCAATAGGGTTACTAAAATAAGAAATATGAATATTGATAGAAACAAGAAGGGGAAGAGGTGCACAAAATAAACCTAGAAGTTACATCATGTTGACGGCCACGGTAATGAAAGTGGTCGAACAAACTTCTTTTGGATACAAAGGCTAGGTTTGTGAAGGTGGATTGCAATCGCCTCTGCTATGTGAAGTAACCGAGTGCGTAATCCATGAGGTAAATTAATTGGAATCTAATGGATGATTTTGAAGGCTTTTCCAGAAACCACTCGATGTCGTGTACCAACTAAGTGTGCAAGTATGGAGCTCTTTATAGTTTTAATTTGTCCCTTGTTCAACCATGATGGGTGGTGCTCAGAAATTCGATTATGGAACTGCCTCATTGTACGCCCAATGTAACTCGCTCCACAGGAGCAGTTGAATTGATAAATGCACATAGAAGTGGCAGAAGCAGGCAGTTTGTCTTTATTTCTTGCACCTAGAATCGGGTGGTTGTAGAAGACGGGACATAATTTAGCGGCTGAGAATGCTTTATGCAAGACTCTTTTATGCGTTGTGTGATGATCTCACTGGCAATATCACTCTTAAATTGCAGCTTCAAGAAGATTTGCTTCTTAGGAACTGTTGGCATTGTTTTCTTAACCCTCGTAATATTCATGTGCTTAGTTACAAACTTGTCTGGGTAGCCATCATGGTTGAACAAGGGACAAATTAGAACTATAAAGAGCTCCATACTTGCACACTTAGTTGGTACACGACATCGAGTGGTTTCTGGAAAAGCCTTCAAAATCATCCATTAGATTCCAATTAATTTACCTCATGGATTACGCACTCGGTTACTTCACATAGCAGAGGCGATTGCAATCCACCTTCACAAACCTAGCCTTTGTATCCAAAAGAAGTTTGTTCGACCACTTTCATTACCGTGGCCGTCAACATGATGTAACTTCTAGGTTTATTTTGTGCACCTCTTCCCCTTCTTGTTTCTATCAATATTCATATTTCTTATTTTAGTAACCCTATTGATTATTTACATCATTACTTCCGAAACATCACCACGTGATTGGTAATTTGATTAAATTGTAAACCAATATATTAGTGTAGAGCCCAAGATGAAGACCTAATTGAAAAGAAATATCTTTCTTCACTCAATTAGTCTTTCTAAATGTTTAAATGGGGATATTCAATGTATGTAACATTTATTTATCTCATATCAAGCATAATTTATATGTACCCAGTACTTGTATGTATATACACTTTTACACTAAACTTTGAACTTACCTTATTCAATAAACCAAATCCTAAGCGTCGAATAGCTGCAATTTTCCAATCAGGCAAAGATGGTTCAAAACGTGGTGCAGTTAATTTAGTAAGATATACAGATGATTCATTTGTAATATTTTGAGATTGTTTTATACATTCATTATCTTGTCGAATACTTTCTTTTAATATGCCTAATGGTAGAGTACATATTAAAGCATCTGCTTCATATTCAATTAAATCATCTTGACTGAATGCAGTATTCAATACATCAACTCTTACACCTATAAAGGAAAGATAAATATATTTCTTTCATTTAGAATGTGATATTTATGCTTTAGTTGAACAATTTACAATAAATATGTTGTTGTTATTATTCAAGTATTGGATAATTTATCTATTCAAGTAAGGCATATTCTCATATAATTTTTAGATCTTCATATAGATCATACGATTCGATGGTCAAGAAGAATGTCCACAACCGGTTGTCACACGAAATTTCGTTACACAACACAATGTAAACGAAAGAGCTATTTATCGTTTCACTTCCTATTGATTGCTGTTGCCAAATTATACAGTCAGTGATGCTTTAAAAATAAACTCTATTTTAATTTCTCAACAATTTCCCATGCTATATAGATAAACTCTGTGAATATATACATATATATTTGGCGCAAAATAGACTTAAAGTAGGAATAATAACTGTTCAAAATTTCTTCAATCTCGATATTTTATCAACTATTTGCTTCAATCTTTTAAATCTGATTTTTTTGTGAGATACTAGTGAATAGTTGCTACAATTTAGTCTAAGACTTGACAGTTGTGTTTCGTTTTGCAAAGAAAAGAAATGTAACTCAGCGACTACATACAGTCTTTTGCAATAGGAAATGAGTCAAACCTATTGTGCATATTTGTAGGCTTATGATACTCACTGACTACTGATAACCTCGATAAGCGGAATGAATTCTGCATTCACAACTGATTAATAATGGGTAATGGCTACCATTTGAATCCAGGACGCGGGTTTCGTTTTACTTGGGACTCATCAGCCGGATGTGCCTACCTCCTAGTGAGTGGTGTTGTTCCCACCAGGACTCGAACTAGCGTCCGAATGCTTCAAACGCCAGAGAGTTATCCACTAGACCACTGAGTTACGATAGCCAATTCTGGTACAAGAGGTGTAATTCTAATGTCCCAAATAGGACGAAATGTGCATCCTGGAACCTACTGCCAGCCACTATCCACCAGTAATATACAACTGAAACGTAGGCAACGTCGAGGCATACACGTAGGAGCCCATATGGCAGCCAATAGAGACAAACCAATTCGGTCCACTTAACGATGGGATAATACAAGCGACAACATCAGAACTGATTGGCTGGAAGTCCATAACGTGAATCAAGGAGTCAAATCTCACCTTGGATACAGAAGGCTTGTCTGGCATTTGCCAACTTGCGTCATCTATGCCAATGACTGGTGAGATATCCGAATAACTATCAAAAGGCGAGTATACAGTGTGCTGTAGTTCGTCCTGTCCTATTGTACAGCTGTGAGACATGGCCATTAAAAGAAGAAGACATGAAGCAATTACAGGCTTTTTTATCCCAGATATCTTCGTAGCACTACTAGCCTTTGGTGGAATCACCGTGTTAGCAGTATTGAGGTCGGGAAAGGGTACTAGACAAGATAGGCAAGGCGATTGATGAGGTTGCGAACCTTAGTCGACTGAGATGGTGGCCTGCTTAAACTTTTGGCTATCGGAAAGTTTCCACCGAGTTTACTTCATCAAATTCATCCCCTTCGATTTGTTTTAAACTTTTAAATGTCTTTTATACGTGTCAAGCACTGTTGCACACTTTTAAAATGATTTTAAACTGCCGTTTCCCAACCTGACAACAAAACAAAGTATAAACGATAAGCCGGTAAGAGATGAGGTTATACATGCACAGAAATACAATATATTACTATTCCTTGGATAACTACGTCGAATTGAAGATTTTAGTACTGGCTGAATAAACTTTTATCAACAAATTTACGCCCAATTTCGTATTCAATCACCAGTCCAAATAAGATGCTAATGTAATACTAGGTACCTGTTTCACACAGTGACTTTCATTACTGTTATAACTAACATTTTTCAAATGCAACGATTATTTCTCTTAAAGATATAGTACAGGGAATGAGTTTGTTGAATTATTACATCATGAGAATTCCATACTGCACCACACTTCTTGTTTGGAATAAAGTTATTATTACTATTATTGTGATTATTATCATTCTTAGATAAGTAGCTGCGCATGCCGATATACCCCCTATCTCGACGTGCCATTCTGGGAGAATTTGGATTAGGTTGGAAGACAGCTTAGAGCGGCCAGAACAAGAAGTGGCACCACTCGATCATGTCTCTGACTGTTGGAGTGAGTCGTCTAGGGATGGAGGTCCAGACTACCTGGTTGGAGTCCCTGAGACGATAGGAATCAGTGGTTGAGGACTCTTGGTGATGTAACTGAAAATCGGTCACAATCGCACAGATGTATCCAATCCTTGGCATCTTCTAAAGCTTGAATATTTGCACCAACCTTTATCCTCAGATTGTTTATTCTCTCATACTACTTTATCTTTTTTGACATCAGACTTTTTCTATGCATCCGTTCTTTGTGTAATACTGTGAAGTATGGTAAATTGAGCCGATGGATTTATGTGGAAGGTTGTATGTTGATATTGTCAGTCGGTCACGCCTAGTCAAATCTACAGTGGTAAGCTTAATTGTACTACTTGACTACCTAAATCTGAATAGGCGGAAAGAGTTTCAAAGGTTGATTACCTAGTGATCCATTAGCCCTACAGTTTCACGTAAATCAATATTTGTTAACTATATCGGTACATTTCAGACTGGTATTCATCATGGACTAACATTAGTTGGAGAATCATTGAAAACGTGGGAGTACTGGACATTTGTCCCATCCTACTGGCTGAATGGTAACGTGCTGACCACGGAACCTTAATGTCTTGGGTTCGATCCCCAATGGGGTTGTGGATTCGAACTGGTGAAGAGTTTCGTGCTAGGACGAAACAGTTGTTCAGTGCTCCCAGGTTTACAATGTTCCTCTAAGTCAAAAATCTCCGCAAACCTCAAAATTGAATTATATCAGTACACGTTTGCTCTAATAAAATTTTAGTTCCGTTTTAAGAAATTTCCCGATGACTGTAAGACTTTTTAAAAATATTGCTTAACAATAGGTTTACACATAGTTTTTAAGTAAGATTTAATTATATTGCATTGAATTATTCGAACATTGAACATATGACAATCAATAAGATAATATTGACACATTGAGTGCATCGAGAGTAAATAATTTGGTTCTTAGGAAAGGCTGTTAATCACAACGAAATTATCATCACACTGATGGCATACATAACATAACTTTATCTTTGTTTGGAATCAATTCCTTTAATGAATTATAAATAAAATATAATACTTAATTACTGTTGGATAGAGGATAACTTCGGGTTCACAATTCATCTGCTTACTTATCAGTGTTAGCTATTTCTATAATCATTTCCACATTAAATTTAACATCCATAAGACAGGAAACATTTTTGAATGTAGAAAATTGAGCCGCTAGTAAAAACGTACCTGTATTGGAATAAGAAATGCGCTTAGCTGCACTTTTCAATTCGATATGACCAGGTCCAAGTTTGTAGGGAACAGATGTTAATGTTGACAATGATGTTTGATTATCTCGTTGTTTTGTAGATGAAGATGAATTTACATGTCCAACACCTGTTCCACTCATTGATAAAGTTGATTGACCAGATGTAATGCATTGCGCTAAACTGTCTGCTACTGATCCATAACCATCTTGTAATACACAATGATCTCCATTTAATTCAAACAAATCATCTTGATCCCAATGCCGTAATGATAAATTGTGCAATTCTGTAGCGTTAGCAAATTCTAAATTAGCTAAATGCCAATCCAGTATAGAACGTTCTTCAGATGTTAAGTAAGTATCTCTGATAAAATTAAAGGAAAAGAGGAGAAGGATTCCAAGGACACCAAAGTAAGCTTTATTGTATAGAGCTAGAGATATTATTATTAGGTTGTGAATCAGGTTAGGTAGGGTATAAAAAAATGTACTCAGCCTCGCCTGGTTAACTAGTTCACTAGTTACTAGCCGGTCCTAAGCCCGAGTAAAGAGGGAAGGTTGGGCATAGAGCTGGCAACCCGACCCCGGAAAACCAATCCAACCGCTACAGAAACTTCAAAGCACAAACAAAATATCAAAAATAAATACAAACTTATTCCTCCCTGGAATCAGGAAGATGGAATGACGCCGAGTGGTAAAAGCCCTCGGAAAGCCAATTGGCCAATGTGTCTTCGCTTCTCTCAATGAAAGTGAAAGTAAACATGGAGACATGGAATGTCAACACAATGTATGAACCTACCAAGGCTGCCCAGATTGTAAAGGAGATGAGAAGGTATAGCATTGAAGTGCTAGGAATCTGTGAAAGCAAGTGGAATAGAAGTGGACTCTCCAAACTGTCAACTGGAGAGGAGTCGATAATCTACTCCGATATTGTCACTCACACGACAACCACCAGCACACTAAGCGAGTGGTTATCATGATGTCCCCAAAGACCATCAAAGGCTCCCTCTCATACAATGGGAACCAATCTCGTCCAGGATCATAACAGCAAGATTCAACTCAAAAGGAAGGAAAGTCAAAATCATTCAATGCTACGCACCTACAAATAATGCAGATGAAGAGAAGAAGCAGGAGTTTTACAGACAACTCAATCAACACTAGAAAAGACCCCACCTCAGTTGGCGACATCAAAATTCTGATGGGTGGGGTGACATGAATGCCAAACTTGGAGCGGACAACACAGCAAGAGAAATAACCATGGGTTGAGAAGCACTCGGTGAAATGATGAACGAGAATGAACAACTGTTTGCAGAATTATGCCCCTTCAATGGTTTAGTGGTTGGAGGCACTGTGTTCAAGCACAAGGATATTCACAAAGCGACATGGATGCCATTTCACCAGACACTAGGACACACTAAAAATCAAACCGACTTCATCTCAATCTCAAGAAGGTGGAGACGTGGCATACTGGATACAAGATCAAGAAGGCAAGCAGATGTAGGTTCACACCATTCACTGTCTAGTGCAAGGAACCTCCCAAATCAAGTTGAAAGCCTTCACACAAGTTGGTGACAGACCACAGTTCAAGTTCAACACCCTAAAAAGAAACTGAAGCACCAAACTACAAAGAAAATCTTCAAGTCGGCCATCAGGACAAGATGGGAGATATCCAGCAACATCCCTGAACAAACCTGTGTGGATGAACACTGGAACTCTTTGGAAGAGGTGTGCAAGGAAACCTGCACAATCGTGTTACGAGGGAAGAAGAAAGAAGATGGGGAATGGATCTCGACGGACACATGGAAGCTGATAGACCAGAGGAGGATGGAGAAGCAGAAGACAAACCAGTGCAGTGCAGGGATGAACCACGAAAAGAGGAACTGAATACAACGCATAAAACACTGGACAAAGAAGTGAAGAAGAGTGCACGCAAAGACAAAAGACACTTCCACAACACACTGGATAGTGAAGCAGAAAAGGCCGCTGCAGGTAGGAGAGACAGAGACCTGACAACATTATATCAAATAACCAGGCTACTATCTACCTCGAAGGGGACACATCAACACAGATGAAACCAGTAAAAGATGATGAAGGAAAGCTAATTACCAAAGAGGAGAAACAAAGGAAACAATGGGCTGACCACTTCAAAACGCTCTCGAATAGACCACCACCACCACCACCACCTGCACTTCGTCCAGAACAGTGAACACAAGCCCTCTGAAGAAAGTCGAAGTCCTGGACGCCACAAGGCTACTGAAATGCGTGGAAGCAGCAGGACCAGATGGAATCCCGCCAGAAGCACTCAGAACAGACACAGGGACAACAGTGGACATGCTCACACCACTACTACAGAAGGTCTGGAAGGAAGGAAAGGTACCTGCAAACTGATTGGAACAACGGCTACCATGTCGAACTCCCGAAGAAGGGTCACCGAAGTCTTTGTAAGAACTGCCGAAGAATCATGCTCCTACCGACACAAAGCAAGCAAAATATTAAGCCGCATCATCCTGGAGAGACTAAACGATGCTCTGCATTCAAAATTACCACCAGAACAGGTTGGCTGGCTGGCTTCAAGAAGAACAAATTAGGTACGGATCAAATTGCAACACTACGCTATGCCTCATCATCGTAGAACAGAGTATAGAATGGCAGTCAACTCAACTCTACCTCAACTTCATCCACTTTGAAAAGGCATTGGATGAAGGCGTCGACCGAGAAGTCATTTGGCAGGCAGCTGCTTCAACACTACGGCTTTAGTGCCACAAACCTTTATCAACCTCATTCAACAACTATATGAAGACGCCACATGCCAGCCAAGTAATTCACAATGGGAAGCTCAGTGATGCCTTTAACAGGAGTAAGACAAGACTGTCTACTATCACCAATGATCCTCCTCATTGTGGTCGACTGGATCATGCCACAAACAACTGTGAGGAACGAGAAGAGAGGCATACGCTAGATCGGGGAAAACATCCCAGAAGGAGATTTGGATTCCACCAACAATAACAACAAGCTTCAATCACCATCAACAGGAGAAACTTAAAGGAAGTAGCCCCTCTCACCTATCTAGGCAGCACCGTTTCAACTACAGGTGGTGGCACAGACAAGGACATCAAAGCCACGATCGGAAAGACAGCAAGACAGGCGTTCATTAACCTGAAACCAGTGTGGAGATCTTCTGCACTCAGCATAAAGCGTGAACAAGATTCGGATTTTCAACATCAATGTCAGTCAAGTCAGTGCTCCTATATGCTTCAGAAACTTGGCGCGTTATGAAAAGCATTTGCAACAAACTACAGACATTCATCAACAACTCCCTACGCTGGCTCGTTACTGAAGCTCGGATGGCCAGAGTAATAAGAATAAGCAACAAGGAACTCTGGCTGACTGGCAACGAACCAACCAACAACCTATCGCTCAACGAATATGCAGAAGGAAGTGGCGATGGATTGGGCAAGCACTGATAAGACCATTCGGGGACATCACGCACCAGGCACTCGAATGGACCCAGATGGGAAACGACGAGTTGGGCGTCCAAAGGTGACATGGAGGAGATCGTGCGAGGAAGAAATGAGAAGTTCTGGGCAGTCGTGGAGCCAGGTTTAAAAGACTGTAGAGAACAGAGTTCACTGGAGACGTGCTGGTAAAGCCCTATGTTCCATTAGGAACCCAAGGGACAAATAACAATAATAATAATAATAATAATAATAATAATAATAATAATAATAATAATAATAATAATAACAATACTAATATAATGATAAAAATGTAGTTGACAACCATTTGGATATTCATGAACTGGATAACTAGCCACATCTAACGATACAACGGCTAATCATACCACCTGGCTTCACAAACGTTAGTAGGTGAAACGGGGCTCGAACCGATGAGCCAATGCTTGAAAGTCACATACCTAGTCCAATGAGCCACAGTTCCATAGATAAACTGAGTAAAATTGACGGTGAAGTATTAAGGATGAAGCAACTGGTATGCTGTGGATGCCTAGTCACCACTAATTACCTGTAGTGTTGAGATGCATTTATAACCTATTTTCATGAGTAAATAAGATATTTTAATACAACCAAAGAAATTTAATTCATAAACACAAAATTAGTATTCAAGCATATGTAAGTACATCAATGTGACAATAAGATGCATGACACCTCCTTTATATTAGTGTTGAAATGCATAAAACACATAGAGTATATAACTGGTGGGTTTTATGAACCATAAGTAAAACAATTTAAAATGAAAACCACGTAAATAAGTCCCTTGTTGAGGTCTCTTAGTGATATTACGTTTGAAGAATGGCCTATGAGCTCCTAAAAAATCATACTTCAACATAGTGACTGACTTATATAGTAATGATGGATAGTGGCTAGCAATGGAATTCATGATGGACATTTCATCCAGCTTGGAACTCGTCCGTTGGATGTACCTGCTTCCTAGTGAGTGATGCTGTTCTAACCAGGATTCCAACTTCGGGCCGATGGATTCAAACGTCAGAGTGTTATCCACCAAGCGCATTTCATCCTATTCAGGACTCGTCAGCTGGACATACCTGCGTCCCACTGAGTGATGTTGTTCCCACTAAAACTATATCCGTCGCGCAAGAAGTGGCTATCATGGCTCGGTGGTCTAGTGGATAACGCTCTGGCGCTTGAAGCGATCGGTCCCGAGTTGGAATCCTGGTTAAAACAATACCACTCATGGTAAGCAGCTACACCCAAATGACGAGTCCCAAACAGGACGAAGTGGGCATCCTGGATTCCATTGCTAGCCACTATCCATCATTACTATATAACTAAGAACACAAGCAATATCAAGGCATCCACGCAGGAGCCCCCAGATGTCAGCAGAGACCGGTCAGTTCGGTCCAATCAACGACGGTATGATACAAGCAGTAACACATAGTGACTGACTGACGAAGTCAACATGGAAAGTTGCACATAAGTCCATCGGGTCAATTTACCACACTTCACAGTAGTACACAAAGAACGGATGCATAGGAAAAGTCTGATGTCAAAAAAGATAAAGTAGTATGAGAGAATAAACAATCTGAGGATAAAGGTTGGTGCAAATATTCAAGCTTTAGAAGATGTCAAGGATTGGATACATCTGTGCGATTGTGACCGATTTTCAGCCACATTACCAAGAGTCCTCAACCACTGATTCCTATCGTCTCAGGGACTCCAACCAGGTAGTCTGGACCTCCATCCCTAAACGACTCACTCCAACAGTCAGAGACATGATCGAGTGGTGCCACTTCTTGTTCTGGCCGCCCTAAACTGTCTTCCAACCTAATCCAAATTCTCCCAGAATGGCACGTCGAGATAGGGGGTATATTGGCATGCGCCGTACATATCCAAGCCCTCTCAGTCGACTAAGGTTCACAACCGTATCAATCAACTAGACTGTCTTGTCTAGTACTCTTCACCTGATCTCCATATATTTTACATCATTAAACAATTCTTACCATCTACTAATCAGGCTAGTGTTCACAATAAATCAGCGGTTATATAATGGTACACATAAGATGCATAGTTTGTTGATAACGAAGTTAATTGTTATAGAAGCTTTGGATATGCTCATAAAGCATACTGACTACTTCAGTTCTTTTTTTTCTTAAATATGAGTGGTATTGGAATGTGATGTTCTTTTGTCCTGCTAGTCTTCGACTAAATGACGATTTATACTTAGAGGTGAAATGCCAAAAAATCATAAGTGTAATGGTTATCGTATAAGTGGATGCTAAGGTATAACACATGTAGAATAAGCTTGAGGTTTAGGGAGATTTTATTCATTTTAAGGTAGGATTAACCACGGACAGACATCAGTTGTAGAGGCATCGAAAATCTGGGAGTACAGGACAGCTGTTTCTTCCTCGTATGGAGTTCCTTGGTAGTACCCACTATCGGTCATTGAACTCCGACTCAGTGGCTGAGAGCCTAACATGTTCGCCACGAGACCTGAATATCCTAAGTTCGACTTATAGTGGGGTCATAGGTACGTACTGCTGAGCAGTCCCATACTAGGACGAAACAAGTGTCCCATCCACTCATCTTTTTAATGATTTTCTAGCTGGTGTTAGTCTTTGATGAATACTACCTTGTTATAGAATAAGGTTTAAAAAAGTCCTAAACAATTTAAATTATTAACTTTGCTAAAGTATTAACGCTATATGATATCTCTGGTGTTTTACTAATTAGGGTAGTCTAGAACAAATATATGCACTTACTTTGGTGGTTGTTGAATTAAGATATCTAACTGTTTATTAACTCGAGTGAGTGCATTCTGAAGTGGTTCAAATTTCTTCCAGGCCTCATGAAGATCACTGAGTAATCGACGAACTTCAAATTGAGCACTGACATTGAAAACTGGCAACGAAGGACACTGAGATGAATCAGTAGACGGAGAATATCCTACTGCAATTTTCTCAGATGATCTGATAAGTAGGTTAAGAAAGAAGTAAATAAAGAAAAGAAATTCTTGTATAGGACATCAGAAAAAAAAACTGTCGGTACAATAACTGTCCTAGGGATATTTAGGTGAAATATGAAACAATGTTAAAAGCTGCTTTGTAGCATGTATATTTGCTATATATCTGATGATGGACTAACTATGCATTCACCATTTTTTATATGGTCCAGCATGATTAGGAAATGTGTTAGGTAACTTCGTTGTTTTTCTTCATGCGAATTATGTGAAGAGTGATATCAACTTAAAAAATTGATGAAATTCATCAGAAAGAGACAAAGTGAATCATTCACTGGAGCGATTGCTTATTGGTATAAGCCATACGAAAAATAAGGGGTTTTGATTGCACTTCCCAAAGGGAAAGAAATCAATGATTTTAAATGTTAGGGGTAATGCATTATTAAATCGGTTTCAAAAACACAGATTTCGGTAGGATTATGAAGACTGAGCATCCCTTTCTACTACCTGTTGTCTCTTTCAAAGATTTTTGTTAGGTATTCTCCTTCGCTTCTTGCCAGGTGGTATAGCTGCTTTAATCCACACTTTGAGGGATCAAGTTAACTGTTTACCTTCAGATAGATAGATGTGTATTTATGGCAAAAGCTTTTTTGACTGCAATGCCAAAAGGTGTAGTATTTATCAAGCCATGTAGATATAAATTGGTCTATCACACCTATCTTTTCATTCATCGTAGTAGAAATTAATGCTCATAATCTGCGAAAATTGAAATACTTTTAAAAAATATACTAATTACATTACAACGGTGTAAAAAACCGGAATGAACCACAGTATGCAATGATTATAAGCTGCGTAAGCTGCCGATATCGGTTGGACACGACAAGATAGTCAGTGATAGAACTCCCATTCACCTGTATACAACCTACTTCATTAGTAGTGATTGATAATGACTAGCAGTGGAATCCAGGACGCACGTCTCCTCCTATTTCGGACTCACAACTGGATGTACTTGCTTGTCAGTGACCGATGTTATTCCCACTAAAACTCGAACCCGGGACCGATCGCTTTAAACACCAGAGCGTTATCCCCTAGACCACCAAGTCACGATAACGCTCTGGCGTTTGAAGCGATCCATCCCGTTTTGAGTCTTAGTGAGAATAACATGGTTCACTAGGAGATAGACACATCCAGCCGACGAGTCCTAAATAGGACGAAATGAGCATCCTGGACTCAACTGCTAGCCATTATTCACCGATAATATAAAACTGAAACACAAGCAATATTGAAGTATCCACGTAGGATCCCAATATGCTAGCCGATAGCGACGGATCAACTCGCTTCAATCTAGGGCGGGATAAAACAAGCAACAACACACTTCATTAGTAGTTTGATTAAAGCGAATAATCTAAGACACTCAAATTGTTTAAACTACCAGATAATGAGACGATTAATCTAGCAGAAAATTTATAGAAAGTGAAAAACTATTCTTACTTCTGTGATCCACTCGATGAGGTTGATTCACAGCCAACACCACCACTAGTGCTACTACCAGTTAATTTCACGTCGATTTCAGTACTGCTGGAACGAGGTGAACATGATGGTGAATCATTTCGTACACGAGACTTATTCAAAGTGTTATGTGTTTTAGACCGTTGTGAATGATGAACTGTTGACTGAGTCGACTGATTATTTAGTGTAGATAATGCTGCATGCCATTTTTCGTAAGCAGCTTCAATATTTTTACGCTCAATAACCATCTACAAAAGATTATAAATTATACAGGTAATTAGGAAGCAAGTAATCCCTATTATATTATATACTTAGAGATAGATGTCTTGGGTGATTACTCAATTCACCTTGGAGCTTAAAATCGACAAGAATGACAGACAATTAGCCGAATAGTGATATTAATCATATTTTACATGATTTTGATCCTTCATCCGATCGGTCAATTTTCATTGACATTATTGTAGGGTGACAATTTTAATACACTGAATGAAACATATGTATGTACGTCCGATGGGCTTTGAGGTCACACAAATATATTTCAGGCAACTTAAGAAATAGCCTTTCACTTGGTGGGCAGCCGGGAAGTGTCAAACGCCCTCACAACTCTGTCAACACTCAAGTTTCTTCAGACTGCTATCCACCTCCCTCATCATTACTTTCTAATCTTCCTTCACGTCTTTCAATTAACGATGCTACATCGTCTTCAAATTATCCTAGCTCTGCAGCCTTCGACAACGATCTGAGTCCACAGAATAGCATCCCTGGTCTCCTTAAACCACGCTCCAAATTAAACATCGGGGCATTCAATGTCCGCACCCTCCGTCAAATTAGTCAACAGGCTTCATTTGCCAAAACTCTAGCAACTCGGGGCATGGATGTGTGCTGTGTTTGTGAGAATCGCATACAGGAACCAAGTGTGGTTATTCACCTAACCTCTCCCGACCAATTTGGTGAATCCGCAAAATTCACCCTCCGAATTTTTGGAGGTCCTATAGCTGGCTCTCATGGTCTTGCAGGTGTAGGTATAACATTAAGCACTAGGGCAGAAAACTCACTACTAGACTGGATCCCAGTTGATAGTCGCCTCTGCGCTGTTCGGCTGAACGGCTCAGTGAGAACTAAAAAGAGTAGTGAAACCCGCCGCTCTCTTTGTATTCTCTGCTTATGTACCCACTGACTGCAGTGAAAAGTTGGCTAGGCAGTTATCGGAACAAAAGACTATCACTCATCCAGAAGAAGCTTGGTGCCTTCTTCAGTCTGCTGTAAAAGCAGCACTGAAGACTGTAGCCGACTCCAAAATAATGGCTAAAAAGAGCCAGTGGATATCAGCAGCTTCTTCCAAACTAATGGATGCACGTGAATGCATCCCTGCAGCCTCTAAGTACAATGAAGAGCGAGCGCAACTTAAAAATAGACTGACGAAAAGTCTGCGCAACGATCGCGAACAGTGGTGGGCAGCGAAGGCTAAGGAGATGGAAAAGGCAGCGGCGATCGGTAACAGTAGACAGTTATTTAGACTTATTAGGGAGACTGGGGGGAAATGGTCAACAACAGTTAGTGAGGCTATAGCGGAGAAGGACGGATCTGCGATTCACTCGCAGGGAAGACGACTGAAAAGATGGGCAGAACACTTCGAGGAACAGTTTAACTGACCTCCAACCACGATTAAGTTGCCCGCTGTCCCATCGAACCCTGAATGAGACATTGAGATAGGCCCCCCAACACTAGGAGAAGTTGAGAAAGCTGTAGGTAACCTGAAACGAGGAAGGGCGGCAGGACCAGACGCACTAACTCCAGAGGTAGACAAGGATGATGGAAAGATGCTCTTAGTCAGGTTAACGGAAGTGTTAGCTAGTATATGGGAATCAAACACGATCCTCTCTGACTGGTCTAAATCACTGATTATCCCAGTCTTCAAGAAAGGCGAGAAGTCCTCTTGTGATAACCACAGAGGAATCAGACTGACGAACATAGTATCTAAGATTCTAGGTTCCATAATTCTTCGACACCTGGGTAGAGCTAGGGGACAATGAGCCCGAGAAAACCAGGCAGGCAGCATTTAGACCCGGCCGTGGGTGCATCGACCAAATATTCAAACTGCGCCAGGTCCTGGAATATTGGCACGCTTACCGACGCCCGACACTAGCTGTATTTCTCGATCTGAAGACGGCATCCGACTTCGCTGATCGAGAAGTCTTATAACAATGTCTCTCACTGAAAGGCATGCCGAGCAAGTATATCACCTTATTGAAGGCTCTCTACTCGAACACTCGTGGGCGTGTTAGAGCCTATGGTGAGGTGTCCGGGGAGCTGTACTCGTCGAGTGGTGTCCATCAATGGTGCCCACTATCTCCATTCTTATTCAATTTTATCATAGACATCTTCATGGAGGTCCCCCTCTCGTCACCCGACTACATAGAGGTTGACCTAATCGCAGGTGAATTTCCGTTAGACCTGGAATACTCAGATGACATAGTCCTGTTAGGTGAAGACGCCGACGAGACGCCGAGTCTTCTGGACAAGTTGAGTGGGGATTTGGGAATGTTTAAGATGCGTTTCTCACTACCCAAATGCAAATTGTTGCTCCAGGATTGTTCAACGGTGCCCCAACGCGGCTAACAACAGAGTGTAGTGATTGAGTGTGTTGACCACTTCACTTACCTGGGAAGTAATATCAGCCCTGATGGCTCAATGGCCGACGAAATTTCTGCACGGATACAAGTGGGTCGGATGGCTTTCGCCAACTTACGCCACCTGTGGGGCTGTCATGATATCCGATTGTCTATTAAGGGTCACGTGTGCTGCATTCGAACAGCAGTCCGGTCTGTTCTAGTGTATGGCTGTGAAACATGGTCATTGAAGGTGGAGGACATGAGAAGGCTTCAGGTGTTTGACCACCGTCACCTTCGTAGTGTAGACCGTATTCCGTAGTGTCAACACGCGAGTAATGCAGAAGTCAGGTGTAGTGTTTTAGGGAGGAAAGGTAAGTCAGCTGACACGATCGTGAACCTTCATCGACTAAGATAGTTGGGACACGTCTTACGCATGCCTAGTTGCCATCTGCCTCGTCACACAATGTTGGCCGAAGTAGGCCCAGGCTAGGAGAAGGCTCGAGATGGCCAGACTAAAGCATGGCATCAACGTATGAAGTCTTTGGCTATTGGTTTGAGACATGTGGGGCGACGTAGACTAGCCGGCTGGGGTCCGCGGGACAAGACGGATCAGTGGTTGGAGACTCTAGGTGATATGACTCAGAACTGATGTCAGTGGCGCAGATGTACACACACATTATCCTCAGCTTAACGACGCTATACCGAGTCTCACCATTTTCTCATTCTTCCCTTCTCTCTTTTCGTACTTTATATTTCTTTTGATTGAATTTCCTTACCATCTTCTTGCATTTCACTGCTTTTTTACTTGATGTACTGACATGAGTTATGGCAACTCTGACCGTTACGCAGTAATGCCTGGTCCTGTATTGATATTGATGATGATTACAGAGGTTGATTGTAAAACGAATACAAGACTAATAAGGAGTAAAACTATGCAGCGTTATCAATATAATATAGTAAAAAACCCAATCAAATCTGTAAAAGAACGTGTCTGTGAGTAACCAGATTATATTAAGTTTCACACTGAATTCAAACCTAACCACTAATTGTTAAAATAACCTAAGATTACTCAGAACATTGGTAGTTTACTTGAAGTAAACTAAAAAAGTGGATTGGTATACCTTACATTTACATACGTCAGTTATATATTTTCTTCACTAGTATCAAGTATGATGACTATATCCTCAACTTTATCAACTTTAGCTCAGAACAGACTTTCATATGAAAATTTATTATTTATTATTATTATCAGTCTAGATTTGGTATCAACAGTGAATGGAGTAATGGATTCAAGAAATGATTCGCGATCAATGTTGAAATAATGAAGGAAAACCTAAGTTATTACAGAATTCAAACCAATGGTTAGTATGTCACCAACTTAATACTTCATCAGATTCAAGATGAGATTGCTTTTTCGAAAAAAAAGTCTATTGGTTTTTGCATAGTTTTATCCTAGATATTCTTTCTCTCTCTCATTCTCCCAATAAAATCTACATAAAAATGCAGTCAACTAGTATACTCACTCACCTGATCTAGAAGAGAATTCTTACGATCTAATAATTGTGATATTAATTTACGATGAGTAATTCTTAATTGTATCTTATGCTTTTCTTGATATCTAAAAAACAGAAAAGAGTAAGATATATACTGAAAGCCTGTACTACTTACCTGGAATGATGAATTGAAAAATAAACTTGAGTTAAATTAAATAAAGATAATGGGATACAATAAACTTCTCTTTGAGTGATGAAAGTTCACCAAGTATATAGAGGAGATGAGCAGTACAAGATCACTTCATAATGAAATAGAAATGTTAAACAATAAAATTTATTCCGTACTAGTCTGTTAGTAGTAAATTAGAGAAAAAAAGTGTTAGTAGTGTACTGCATCATCTTTGAATTTTGTAACAGTTCTGCCAGTGTGATTTAGATATTCATGACATGATGGATAGTGGCTAGCAGTGGAATCCAGGATGCGCATTTCGTCCTACTTGGGACTCGTCATCATTACTATAATTAAAACACAAGTAATATCGAGGCATCCACATAGGAGCCCATATACCAGTAGAGACCGATCAATTCGGTTCAATCAACGACGGTACAATACAAGCAATAATACTAAAACTATACCTGTCGCACGAGAAGTGGCTATCGTGGCTCGGTGGTCTAGTGGGTAACGCTCTGGCGTTTGAAGCAATCAATCCCAAGTCCGAATCCCGGTGGGGACTACACCACTCACTGGGAGGCAGAGTACATCCAACTGACGAGTCCCAAAAAGGACAAAATGCGCACCCTGGGTTCCACTGCTAGCCACTATCTATTATTACTATCATTAAAACAAAGGTAATGTTGAGGAGTTCACGCAGGAGCCCATATGCCAACAGAGACTGATCAATTTGGTTCAATCAACGACGATATAATACAAGCAATAATGTTATTTATGACTTATATTTATAAGTATGTTTTCTTCTAAGTTTTCATCTCTTTGTGTTCATTAACATATAATAACGACGTTATGATTTACTTGGTGTCAGGAAGCAGTGGAATCCAGGATGTGGATTTCATCTTATTTTGAACTTGTCAGATGGATATGCCTGGACCCCCCAATGAATTATGTTCCCAAATAAGAAGAAACGCACATTCTGCATTCCACTGTTAGCCACCACCGAATAAATTATAACAGAATGAATATTCAAGCAAATATCGAAGCATTTGCATAGGAGCCGATATGCCGACAGAGATCATTCAATATGATCCAGTATAACAATGAGAAATTACAAGTATCAATAAACGTAATATTGACGCTTATATCATTAGCACCATTCTTAATCTTGTTTATGTCAGTTGGTGTATGGAGCCCCAGGTTATTCTTTCGATAATCCTTTTTGTTTCTTTTCAAGCTAGTTAGTCTAGTATCGTAGCAATCCCGGAAATAAGAGATTCCGTAAATAGTACTCTTGCTTTTATGAGGCCCTACTGAATATGATGACTGAAGTATATATATATATATATATATATATATATATATATATATATATATATATATATATATATATATATATATATATATACCAGTGGACGGTTGCAAGAATAAAGCCGGAAACAGGTTTGTCTTACAGTTTGAAATTTTGTTCTCATGTAGATTGATGTCACCTAAGGATAACTACATAGTGACCAGCTGCTTCAATGGGAGTGAATAGGTTCAACTAGAAAAGCTCATCTGCATAAATCAAACTTAGAAATGCTCAAAATTCATTTAAGGCATCGTAATCATTAGTTAAATGATTTCTTCGGTCTACAGCGTTATATGATTTTTTTAAAACAAAATATTACATGAAGATCATGTAAGCTAAACATATTTCTAAATGGAGAAAGATTTAAGACATGAAAAAGTCAATGACAAAACATACAATCTTTCAAAATGAAAACTTACTTAATCAACAATTCAACAATTTGACCTAATGATAATGGAGTTTCAACACCAGAATCAAGAACCAATGAATCCAATCCTTTAGAATGACATACATAAGCAGATGTGCCTAAAAGACGATTAAATTCTTCTTCAATACGTTCGTCAACATCACGATTTACTAAATGACCTTGTGGATCATACAGTGAACAGTCTGTATTGATTGCAACTAAGTTAAGTGATAACTGACGTACTAATACAGTTACAGGATTAGCAGCTGGAACAAAAACACATAAATAATAATTGACTGTAATGAATAACATAAATTTCATTGGAAATTCAACATTTTTATCAGATATCGTAAAGATACATGAAAATTTACCTTCTTAATAGCTCAAAAGTTAAGGTTTCGTTTCATGTTACTTTTAGGAACAGGGATCAGAAAATGCAATATGATATACCGTGATTACATTGATGATTCAGCTTTTGAAAATTTCACAGAATAAAATTGTTAAACTTTACTCAATCATCGTAAATCGACTTGAGATGTTATAAAGTCACCAGTTTTGTAAATATTGGCGAATAGACTTTCAAGATTATAGTGGATAGTATGTATAAAAAACTTTCAGTAGGAATTTTATTTCATTACCATAGAGGTAAAGTGAAGGCTTAAAATCAACCATTTACCCATATGTGGGGAATAAAACATACAAATCAGAACGCTAATACGCAACTGATTCACAGATGAATTGACCAATTACTATGATACAGATAGGTCTTTTAAACAAATAGTAAACCTGAGATATTAAGTGTTTTAGTTGGTATAAAGTAGATGCATATATGCCTGTCGATTGTAATTGTAAGGTTTCTGGACAAGCATTTTCCCATGGAAGAATGAACTTGAGAAAAATCCTTTCAAAGTAGTTGATTCTCATGATTATTTAGAATTTTATAACAGAGAAGAAACATATGTGACGTTTTTTGAAGCAAGTGAGTCACAATTTTTACAGTATTCCCAATTCACTACAGATAAACCCCAATTATTTTGCCTTAATTTAATGACAATTTAGAATCGGATTTTCTCGACTGGTAAACACTTCAGGTGTACGCACGTACACTAGTGATGTGAACACACAAGTGGTGATGAATAAGCCATGAAAAAGTCGCTTATAACGAAAAACTAGCTAACCAATTATAACAATGCTTGGTGGCAATTCGTGATGGTAACAAGTTCTTTGTTTACACTCTGTAGTCATCTGACATAAAATACGGTACACAATAGCACTCTGTTACTTGGTTCACTGAATGTATAACAGGACGTTATAGAACGTTTAGAATTGGGATATGAAATAGCCTATACACAAATCTTTCCACTCGACTTCACTAAAAGTGATTATTAGAAAATCCTTAGTATGTAGACCGATGGAAATTTTTATGCACAGAAGTATTAAGTAGGCTTCCAGGAAGTCAGTGGAACATTGTGTGATACATTACCATTAAAAGTAGAAGATAGCATCTAGTGGACTCACAGTGTGGACATTTTCTTGAAATTCAAATCCACTCAGCAACTCTGTGCACATCTGTACAGTAGGCGATGAGTCACACATATTATGTGAGAGCTGATGATACTACCTAGCTGTCCAAACCTCAAACCAATGACCCACTAGTTGAAAGTTAACTCCCTAAACCGATGAGCCACAACTTCACACCACCATATGAGGAATGTTGAAGTGTGACAAAGAGTACTAGGCAAGATAGTCAAGTTGGTTGATACGGTTGTGAACCTTAGTCGACTGAGATGGCTTGGATATGTACTGCACATACCGAGTCACTGCCAGCCTCGATGTACCATGCTAGGGAAGGTTGGATAAGGTTGGAAGACAATTTAGAGCGGCCAGAACAAGGAGTGGCACCACTCGATCATGTCTCTGACTGTTGGAGTGAGTCGTCTAGGGATGGAGGTCCAGACTACCTGGTTGGAGTCCCTGAGACGATAGGAGTCAGTGGTTGAGGACTTTTGGTGATGTGGCTGAAAATCGGTCACAATCGCGCAGATGTATTCACTCCTTGACATCTTCGAAAGCTTGAATACTTACACTTACTTTTATCTCCAGGTTGTTGATTCTTTTACACAAGTTTTTCTAATTTGACATCAGTCTTTTTCTATCCACTTTTGCTTTGTATGCACATGTGAAGTGTGACAATTTGGACCAATGCACTTATGAGCGATGTTCTACGTTGATTTTGTCTGTCTTTCAGTCAGTAGAATATTGGCTATTGAATATTGCACACTGAAAAGCGCTATCCGTTAGAATATTCATAAAATAAATTGTGAAGGAGAATAAATGAGTCAGACCAATCGTGAGACTGGTCATTCGCTGATATGAGGGAAAGTATGAAACAGTAATCTGCGAGTTGTAATAAAGGTTTGTTAAAAGAACCCATTCCATTCTCACTTAATTACGAATATCCTACAGATGAAAGAGAAGTATACGGTAAAGGTATAACTGTGAAGAATAAATAACCTAATATCGTTCTTGATATTGTCAACTAAACGTAAATGAAACTTGTACAAGTAAAAAGTGGACAAAAATAAATGATACTTCGGACAGTAAAAATACTGAACTATGATAATGAAAAACGCACATAAACCTGTAACAACCATTGCACCAAGTTCAGCATGATATCCATTTTTTCGATACGTCCATATTCGACCACCGACACGATCCTGAATTAATAAAGATATTCATCATGTGATCAATGCACATCTAATATGATTATGAATGTTATTTTATGAAGGATTTAATAACAAAATTTGCTAACAGAAAATTTGTCTATAAACCATTTATATAAACTTCTAATAAAACACTTTAAACTGTTTATAAGTGCATGGATGCATTTAGTATTTTTAATAGGGGTAAATGACTGGAACTCTGATTCTCAGTGAGGTAACATGTAAGACAGACTTCATAATTATGACTACTGCTACTGCTACTATCACTGTATGGAGCCGTGGCTCAACGGTATAAAGAGATAACTACCAACCATTGGGTCACGGGTTCGAGCCGTGCTCCATTTACCGAGGTTTGGGCAGCCACGTAGAATCACTAGCCCTTACACAATAGGCGTGGCCCATCGTCTACTGCATAGATGTGCACAAGGAAGCTAAGAGAGCGCGTTAACTACCATCACTATTACTATGAAGTAAACATACTCCATATACACTATAAGTGACGAAATACTTTGTATACTCAGAAGAATATTTCCTCTGGGAGTTAAGCAACAGTATACATTCAAGTAATAATTCGAGAGAAGGTTATCCAATTTGTAAGCTAATGCAAGACAGTGTGAAGTTAAATATAGCAAAGTTGTCAACAACAGGGTTGAATTAACAATGGATATGCAATTTTTCTTTGATATGTAGATAAACATGAATTAAAGTGGACTCGTTAAGCGGAATTGTTAACAACATACGAAATGTCAATTTGGGTCACTGCCGGATTCGAACAAGCGACCAACGGGTTCCCGGCCTAGTGCTCCATCCAATGAGTTATGAGACCCGACTGCTGACCAGATTTCTTTTAATCATTTCACTTCAATGAACAAGTGTTTTGTCCGACCGCCGTGTGAATTCGTGAAGCGTTACTATTGCTTGACCGCACTCACACTGGCTACCCAGTCAGAACTTCTCATCCCAACTCCAATCTACTTGAATTAGAGAGGGAGAGCATCATATTGTTTGTAAGTTTGAATATATATAATAGTAGTGGTTTAGAAGACTTGTTTGAAGGTAAAATAAAATCATTGGTCGCGCAGAATTCAAATTAATGTCTATACAAGCCTGCAAAACCACGGCTATCTCAGACAGTCAAAAATATATATTAAACAGATGGCTTTCGAGGTTGTAAGTAGAAACTGTGATTACATCTTACATTTATTTCGCAAGTTAATCACATATGAAGACGAAAAATCAACAGCAGTAGTTTCTAACAGGATGTATGCATCAAATGATAAGGCCGTAATATTACGCATAAGCAAATTACAATCTTGTCAAGAGTATCAGCATATAGAAGACTAGATTACTTGAGAAAACTAACAATCACTAATACAAAGTGTATAAGACTTGGTTTTAAACCACAAGCTGTAGGAAAGTAACAGAGATTTAGGTAAATTATTCACGAGAAAAAAAATCCAATTCAAGCTCTACAGTATGCTACCAAAAAGATATTTACTGATTTAGCAGTAGATATGATTCACAGTTGATCAACTCTCGTCACCAATCCACTTAGGTAACTTCGTAAAAGTAACTAAAACGAACGCTTAGCCCAATAAGCTCACAGCAGACAATCAACATTGTCAGCGATTAATACCTAAGATGGGTAGTTACATAGGTTTTCAATTTCAATCTTTCATCACTGATGCCTCTAGAGCGTCGGGTGTTTGGTAGTACTGAAGAAACAGAAGACAACTCGACGAGAGAATGCATATTAGGAAGAATTGGAATGGTAGTGGTTACATATGGTACTCCTTGCACTAACGCAGCCATTTGCAAATGTCTTCATTTCCTCTGTTCCTGTCTTGATTTGCTCTTGACCTGCTCTTCATACACTCTTATCAGCAGCATCCCCTGTAATACGCCTGTGTTATCCCCTGCGTTGCTCTTGGCAGAAACCTTACCCATTGCCGGTAATTCCTTATGATTCCTGCCACCCTCTCGACATATACTACTTATATCCGTTGTTATCAACAACGCCCACTACAGTACTACTGAGTCAACAGTGCCAGTGTTGAGTAAAGAAGTTACTTTAGTTGATGAGGTTGTAAACCAAATTTTACTACAGTGACTGTGACATGCTACGGACGTTTCCCAAAGGCTGATGTCACCATACTATACTGATTGAAGTCACAGGTTGGTAGACAATTGTCGATTTTCTTTGGATAACGTGACTAGAAGACGTAGTTATCTGAAGAATCACGTTATCCAAATTCATAAGAGGGACTAGTTGTTTCACATTTTTGTTTATTTGTTCTAATAAACGACGCCAGGATTACACAAGAAGAATGCAAACCACTAAAATATCTGATTAAAGTAAAAATCCAATTAGGAACTCTTTGGTAAGAAAATTTTCCGGAACACTACGCAAATTTGTAATATAAGCGATAATTGATGGGAAAAGTCCCTCACTAACGGTTTACTTCTACAAATCGTAGGTAGTTGCTAGGACAGGTTATAAATAACATCCCATCTACATTATAGTATTAATGATAGATAGTAGCTAGGAACGGAATGCAGGACGCAAGTTTCGTCCTGTTTGGGACTCGTTAGCTCGATGTACCTGCCTCTCGGTGAGCGATATTGTTCCCGCTAAGACTCGAAATAGGGGCCGATCGCTTCAAACGCCAGAGCGTTATCCATCCGGCCACCAAGTTACAGTAGCCACTTCTTGTGCGACGGTATAGTTTTAGTATTGTTACAGGAGCCCATATACCAACAGAGACCGGTCAAATTCGGTCTGATCAGAGACGGGATAATACAAGTAACAACACTACGCTCCGGTATTTCCAAACAAATTTAGCAGAATGCAATTGATTAACGTAATGCACCCACCCACCTTGTGTACACCTGTGCAGCAGACAATAAGCCATACGTAATGTGAGGGCTAGTGATACTACTTAGCTGTCCAAACCTCAGTATGTGGAGCACGGCTCGAACCCGTGACACAATAGTTGGTAATCACTTTCCTAAACCAATGGGCCACAGCTCCACAATTAACTTAATAACCGTTTATGTTCAAGATTATGGATCACACTCAGTGTGTAGAAGCTTATTATATCATCGGGTTGCACAGACTGAAACAAGAAGAAGGTTAAAACTAGTGGCTAAATGACACTAGATATAGTTTGTATTTGTGTAAATCACAGCGTATTTGAAATGAAATAATGCCAGCGTTTTGGACGAAAGTCTGGTCCAAGCTTCTTCAGGGAAATAATCAAAATTAGAATATCAAGGATATATAAATGAATTCAAAGACGTATATTCAATCTCTTTGCTCAATCCTCTTCGTATGGTCGTTGTCTTTCTAAAATAATGGTCTAATGGTTGGTATTGGAAAGCTTAGGTCAACAAACAGCTCCATTTTCAAGATTGCTAGTCTTTCTCATACTTCTATCTAGAGGTTTTTTGTGAAGATTTATCAATTAATTTTAGGTTGGGGGGGGGGGAGGAGGAACATTGGAAACCTGGGAGCACTGGATAGCTGTTTCGCCCTAGTATGGGACTCCTCAACAGTGTGCACCTGTGACCCCAACCTATCAGGGACCGAACTCAGAACCTTCAGGTTCCATGGCCATCATGCTACCATCGAGCCACTGGGTCGGAATCCAATAGTCCACATTTCCTACTTCTGTCAGTTCACAATATAGCACGACCATCACCCAACGTCATGAGTAACTCTTTTCATGTTCGACTTGGTTACGACTTCTCATTGGATTTTCGGGAATCACCCCTCGAAACCTTCGCAAAAACCTGCTAAGGCTTATTAATAAAACTTCAAAGAGAATTAACCTAGCGCTTATTGGTGGCTATTTTTGAGAGGTGATTCCTGAAGTTCCAATGAGAAGTAGTGACCGGTGGAGTCAACCAAGTCGAGCGTGAGGACAGTTACTCAACGACGACATTGGATGTAGGTCACTGTATATCATGAACTGTAAGAAGTAGAAAATGTGGACGACTAGATTCTGACCCAGTGGCTCAATAGTAAAGTGTTGATCACGGGGACTGAAGGTCCTGGGTTCGAGCCCTGGAGAGGCGAGGTCACGGGTGGATACTGCTGAGGAGTCCCGCATTAGGACGAAACAGCTGTCCAGTGCTTCCAGGTTTCCAATGTTCTTCTAACTGGTGTCAGTCAATGATGAATTCCAACCTTTGTCATATTTGCTTTATTCGAAAGTATTTTCGCGTATTAATGAGTGCTGGTTTCTAGATAAACAAGGATTCAAATCTTCTTGTAGTTGAAATTATATACTAACCGACGATTTTTATAGCATGAACCAGATTCACTAGATGAAGTGCTATATTGTTACAAATCAATATGATTCTTGCTTCTAGATAAGGTGAAATGGTTGACAAATACATTCAATATTTGATGTATGAGCACAAGAAAGCTGTCATCTTATATTTCTTGTTTTCACTTTATCTCCAAAAATTTAACAAAGCGATCATTTTTATTGACAAACCCTCCTTAATTTACTGAATTTCTAAAGAAACTTCTACCTGAAATTACTTTATATGATTGATGAAATAACTAAAGATACTAACAAAGGTAAGTTGTACAAAACCCACAAAGGATATGAACCGACCAACCACTGCGTAATGCAGTGCAGTACTGAAAGATGACAGTGGACAATTAGGTCTTTGGGTAAAGTTCACTTTCTCATGTAATACTGAAGTAATGAGTCGATGTATTTTCTCAGCATCAAAAGTTCTTACATAATATATTATTGATTGCAGAATCTAACAAACCCTTTGCTTCCAAATTAAAAGAAGTTTGATCATGCACATAGTCTCAGGTGTAATAGTTGTTAATAGTGAAGGACATTTATTCTTGTTCCCATCCGGATATAAACATCCACAACAACATAAAAATTAACGAAATATATGGGGTGAAAATGTCACAATAAGAAACAGAATAGAAAGAGGAAATTAGGAGGTAATGAGAAAACAAAAAAGCGGAAATGGATGAAAAGAAGACCAAAAAGATGAACAGTAACAGTAATCAAGAGATAGTGTTAATGAATTCGCATCAGTGTGATCCATTTCGAGCGATGTGACCTAGGTTTCACAAACACTAGACTATAAGAACCCTAAGGACTCCAGTCAGCCAGTTTTTGTTCCTTGTACGAACCGGAATTGCAAATAGAAACTCTACGGAGTGTTGGTACGTTTTAGTTTGATCAAACGACGGATCAGTGAAACTACTCAAATTTCATAGCAGTAGACTGGGAGGAAATCAGATCGAGGAATGCGTTGTAAGGTGCTAAATATCCAGGAAAGTAACCTACTTATTCACAAGCTTTTTACAACTGACCATGAACTTCAAACAAAGATTACGTATTTTCTGCTTGCTACAATTTTACTTTCCTTTAAATTCAGTAAAATAATGACAGAATACAACTAAACATGAAGACTACGGCTAAGAATTACTATCAGATTCCAAGTTAAACAGTTCCATGTTAATTTCTTTGTTAGGTACTTCACACAATGAAATAGTATTGTTTACAGTATTTTATTAGCGGTATTATTTACTGGATTCAGAAAATGAAACTACGTTGTATGAAATATACAAATGAATTAGCACAAAACTGTATACTACAGCAGAAAATCAGTTTCACTCTTACACTAAATTAAATAAGTTTACCGAGAGTTAAGTCAGTCAAATTACTAAATTTCATTGCTATTAAATTATACCAATAGAGCAGTAAACTCAGTGGAACATACACGAGATTCCAAAATAGTGACTTTAGCACCAAAGTAGGTTAATTGTCTCGCTGCAATTAAGCCAGATATGCCCGCTCCAATTATAATAAAATGAGGCACTGACGCTGAAGTGGATGAACTGCCTGGAAGTACAGTGGTGGGAGAGACACTAGATCGTCGAGTTGCTGCCAAGGCTTTTTCTGCTGCAGCTCTTCTGGGAGTTAACTGAACATCTGGTTTCTCTGTTTCCACAGGTGATTCAAGAATATTAGTAGTCATCCGAAAGCAGTTCACGTGCGTTAGGGGTGGGGATATTATTTTGAAAACGCCAAAATTAATGTAACCATATCTGAAGAAAATGAATGAAGATTAGATTAAGTATATGAACGCAGTACCTTTATTTACCTTAAGGGACATCAAAGGTACGGATTTACTCACCAGTTTGTGGGAGTTCATTAGAAACATCCACTGAATTATAAAAATATGACACGCTAAAGGTGATCAAAAAAGGTAGCTGTTTATCTGAAGCATTCTACATTTTTAATTCATTTGTTTCGCTGTTACGTTGCATAGCATCCCCTTACAATAATCTTTAGTGACATTGACTCATGCTTCTTGTCAGCGGGAAACATCATAAAGCAGTGGGTACAAAAAATAAAGTCATTGAAATACCTTCTTTTCTACTACTGGACTTTTAGTTGCAATAAGGAAGTGGATGATATTTTATTTCAATAACCAAAACAAACCTTTCATTTCTCCAATGGGACGTACTGAGTGCTATTTCCGTACTACTTCCTGACATTCAAGTTTTAAGCGCATCTAATGTTTTTTTATTACCAACAAACTAAATATTGAAGGTATATAGGTCGAACTTTAATCACAGTATGAGTATCTTACGTTTAAGTAATCAGAAAGTAGACACTCTTCTCTACTGTTTTCAACTGTGCTGAAAGGTGTTTTATGGGGTGTATCGGCTTGAACCCTCATTCTAGTATTTACTTGTCCAATACTTGCGAACCAATTACTCAATGTTTCATTTTAGACACTGCTTCTATCCCAGTAATTTAGTTATCAAGCACATTTAAAGCACTCCGCAAGCACTTAGCTTTTAATCACATGGATGATATCGGTAACTGTATTCACTACTCTGTAGATGTCTGCGAAGACGCATTGTTTATTAGCTTAGCTGATATTTATGGGCGAAGTTGTCCATTCCTGAAAACTAAGCTCGACAATATCCAATCCAAACTAACCTACCACAGAAGATACGCGATAAGCTTATCACAATCTATGAATTGTTTCTGCAGTTTGTGACTGTCGTAAGCTGACAGTTTCACCTTTATATACTCAGAACAAATATTCACAATTTCCTGTCTGCCAAAACTCCAGAAGCTTCTTTAAAACTACTGGTGAGTAAGTGATCATTGTTTTTGACGGCGTTATTCTTCATCTGGTGTGATACGTCTATGCATGGAATAGAAATCAACACATTTAGCACTGCATGAACTACATCTTATAAGACACTGAGTGGCGAAGAAAAACAGTACCCTTGTAGCAAAACAAAAGTATAAGGAGTAGTGAAAAGCTAACAATGAAATTAGAGCAGCTGCCAGTCAGCTAACGGAAACGCTATTTTCTAGGTTCAGCTCAACATGCTTATTCATGTAAATTGCGTGGTGAGTGAAACATAGATGAAATTCAACAATTAAACTTACGAGTATGGGCCATTATTCGCAAAATGACACATAGATATCCAAAAGGAAAAAAAAAGTTGCCAGCTGCTTTCTGGAATTTAAATATTTGCAATTGTGTTTACTAAAAGGTCAAGATGTGTCCAAATAGCCATACTGACAGATTTTAAGGTTCCATGCGAGTGTGATGAAGAGTAGTTTGTCTGGTCAGTGATAAAAATTTGTTCCTAATTCTTTTGGTGGTTACAGATTTGAAGTTACCTCATTAGCAACAAATGCGAGATCCTGATGAAGAAGTACATCAGTTCTCACACAACAGTTCATCTCTGTACTCTATGAGTTGCGGATATGTGAATTTATAACAATCATGCCTTTAGTTGAATCTACAGGTATGAATTTCTACACGTAATTGCACTGAAAATCGTTGAATATATGCAAGTGCTAAGATAAGAACATAATGCTGTCTATTAGCAGCAATCAAGAAGCTAGGTTGGTTAATTACTTGTGAAAGCACTAGAGAGTTAAAACGTTTTGTCGATCGATCTACCTTGGGACTATGGTAAATATTTTCCTCTCTGAGTGTCGATGTTCAGGCTGATTTGTTTCCTTAATTGGAGTTTCGGCTGACGTTTACACACCATACTAAAAATCCCCACTGGTGCAAAGATATGAAGTGATTTGACTATGCATAGGTGACTTTATCCAATTACAACTTGACTAAGTGGTCGAGATAGGCATATTTCGTGTTGAGTATGTAGTTAGTCGTTTACAAAAAACACAAATAAAATGAAATAATGGAACTAAATTCTAACGAAACTAGCATGTACTGAAATTTCACCCTGAGAAATAGATTAAACTAATCAACCAAGAGAAGCAGAAATATAAAAAAGGTAATTTGACTTGATTAAAAACAAACGCTACTTACCTTTCCAAAAATAAGACAACTAAATAGCACATTCGCTCAAGATTGGCTTTTGAAGTGGGAGTTCCCCAGGGTAAATAATTGTTTGGCAAGGTTAAAATCGTTAGATGACGCTGCAGAGATCGTGTAATTTCTTTATGTTTACCGCGGCTCACACTAGAAACATTCTCTTCACATACGGAAGAAGCAGAAGAGTTGGATCCTTGATGCGATGGTAAAGGAGCGGTCAAACCAGCATCAATCATTAATTTCAAGTTCTCTACTGACATATTGTTCACCACATATGTAAACAGTCTATTGGGTGTTACTTGTGAGCATGAATCCTCTGACCACATTAAACACTAAAAGTGAGTTGAAATTGCGTTTAGAAAGCTATTTCCGGCGAATTGGTTTACATGGAAACAGCAGTAGTTACTAGTTTCGGGAAATATGGTCAAATATCAATTGATAACAAATTACTCTCTGAATGTTTAGAATTTGTCAAAACTTCAATGATCAGAACTTTCTGTAGGAATCATCGTCAGTCAGGCACTTTATAGGTACTATGTATCTTTCAAGCTTCATGTGGTACTATACTTCATTGAATGTAACCACTATGAATGTAGTGGATATAACTTAGTCATTTTTATTACTGGCAACCGATCACTTTGGCTAGCTCCCTGACAAATGTTTCTAAGACATTGAAACTAACATTACTAACCAAGTGATACAAAATACACAACAGTTTGGAAAAAAATTAGTCAAATATTAATGACACTTCAACTATTGTTTATCAGGATTAATTTTTCAGAGCAGTACGGAAGAGCACATATTAGTTGCACATTGTACTGGAACACCAGGGCTAGCCAGACATACTGATTATATTTTGTCAAGCAAGTTGTTTAATGTGACAGCGCTTATGTTGAAACTTTTCGAGCACCTTATCTTCCCGGAGGATGTCGAGTGTCAAACAGGTGCAGTAGTCACCTTAACCAACCAACTACTTACGTTTAAGAAAACGAAATGTCAGTTATAAGGTGGAACACTCCAACCACACCGGATATTTTCACTGAAAACACTTCTGTTTCCGTAAAACTAAGTCGATATTGTTAGGAGTGAGCAGTCACTTGTTAGGAATAAGTTGATTTTGAAAAATATCTTTAATAAAATGGTGATTTTCTAAAAGTCATATTTAATTCAAAAACTAATATGGTGGAGTGCAGTGTACATATGCTGGTCACTAAAAATTCATCATTTGCATTGCAAGTAATCAATGTCTAGAAAAACTAACAAATAATCAAAAGAATTCTTTATGTGAATAGAATCGAAGTTTTTCGTGGTTAGTCTAATTCACTGAAGGACGATAAGAAAGGAAAATTTGCAGCTGCATATAGGAACACATTTTGAGCTCTTGAGAAAAGCGATTTTACAAGCGCATAGGTGAGGGAGGAAAGAAATTGAACGAGCCACTATCGATACATTTGAAAGATTAGTCTTACATCTAAAATCGTATTATTTTATTTGGTGCAAAGCTTTACCTACTCCAGCGTGCAAAAAGGGAATTCCAAGTTGATCCTTACATTTTAGAATCGTAAATAAAAACAGCTACAGAAAAAGAGAAATGCAAGCTTACTGCAAGATTGCGAACAGCAATGTATGATCCCTTTAGAGCATTAGAAGAAGTTTCCAAGAAAGGAAACAACAAAGTCTCCTCTGAACACATTTCTTTGGCAGGGAGACGACAAATCTGTGAGGCTTTTTCAGCAGGTGTCAATGTGTCTTCAGTCTCTTCTTCAATAGGCTCTTCTTCAGCACTCTCGCTATCGGCATCATCCACATCGATATCACCCTCGATTAAACGCCTTCCACTCGCATTGTTTTCCATTTCACAGTCCTCGAATTCATCATCATCTTCATCACCATCCATTCTGCATTCATCTGATTTCCTATTGGAGCCTGAGATTGGTGCATCCAATTTAGGAGCCTTCGAATCTTCTAATTCACTCACCTCATCCTATAATTCAAAAATTTCAGGAATATCAATCAGGCTCTAAACATACACATCCCCGAACGGCAAAAATAGTATAGTGATTACACAGTCATTCAGTATTTTTTACATATTTCAGACTAGTGAGTATGTTTCATGCAAACAGGAATACAATGTTGTGCATAGCTTATTAAGGAATATTTCCTTAAGTAAACCCATCTTACTTGACAGAAAACAGTCAATTATCTGGCGAGGGTTATTAGAAAATGGTAATTAAGCTACTGGGCATACAGAAAAACTAGCCGGTTGCGAAGCATGCCTAACTAGGAGTTGTATTACATATTGGGTTATAACTTCAATACCACAGTTCATCTTTTTAGCTGAATGAAAGTTTCGACAATGGCAGTACAAATGAAGCACTTTAACTGAGCTAACTAAAAATTGAAACTTTTCTCTTCTGACATCGCATTTAAAGTGGTTGTGCGATGAAAGTACGAATACAATCTGTTCATCTGCTATTTAAACAGTAGGTGCTTATGGTACGGGTAGCTATTTAAGTGTTTAGATGGCCGTATCTACTGAAGATAATAATTATAAAAGCTAGCGCTAACTATGAGAATTATTCCCAGTCCAAAATAAACAAGATTTTATTCGTAGACAATAAAAAATAAGCATTCGATAGTTCATGACCGTTATAAAATGTAGATTTCCAGAAACATGGTGTTAGCACTATGTTATCCTATTTGAATAACAAGGAAAGGAAGCTAGGTTCACAAAAATACCAAACAATAGCACTGTGTTCAAAGTTCGATAATTTGTAATACTACTAAACGACAAAAATATTTACTTCTATGTTTTTGACGGAGGAATCAACGCTGTTTGAAGCAAGAAGTGACTGCACACGAGAAGGAGCTTGGCGGAAGCCTCGTTTAACGCCATGACCCCGCGGCATTTGCACAAATACTGAAAGCGCTAACGAAGGAGGACGACCTTGAGAGTAATAATGTTTGAATTGGCGAACAAATAACGACCATTCAAACAAGACGTTACATGGATTTCAATTAATTATTATTGATACAGAAAGCTATAGCTTGATATTTGACCATATTTTCATTGTAGAGGATACTTCAGCTGGCTAAATCATTGTTTATTACTCAGTCTCATTCGACAGTATGGCAGTGGGTAATAAAAGTTGGAGTTAAGGCCAAACATTTGCCGACTTCCAAACTACCCTACTTCCTTCATTCTTGATAAGTCTAGGGCTTCTGTTTGGTCAGCCTAGCTACTTTTCGTTAACAATTCTGACACATGTATTCGATTCACTGTTTATCATGAATGGCTTGGAAAACTGGATTGTTTTGCCGATTGAGACCCATTAGGTCTTTAACTTTCCAAGATCTATTTCCAAGTGAGAATAGAGGTTGAATGTCATATTAAGAGTCTTACCTGCTGTTTCTGAGATAACTTCGGCTTTCGCCAGTACCGCAGACACTTTGAGTAATGTCCTCACATTACGTTCAGTGCTATATTGTCATTCCATCGGTGCTACCATTGCTTTCAAAATTTTTGGACGATTCCTTATGAGTATATCCATAAACCCATGATTCATGCGCTTCGGGCTACGTCTCATCAGTGTGTATCATGAGTCAGGTTTTTCTAGCATATGATCTTCGTGAATTCGGGATATACGCGACCAAAGTGTTGCCATTCTAGATCTTTTAGGATTTGTCCTGGTGCGAACTTGACAGACGCAAAGACCAATCACCAATTATTCGGACTTGTTATATACCCACGAATACGAGAACAAGGTAGAACACGATAGCGTAGTCGGATGGAATAGTATATTTGGATGGTTATGCCAAAATACCGATGCGTTCCAACTAACTGGCTAGAGAGTCGAATACGAGCAATGCAACGTAACACGACAGCGTGCCAAATGGCGAGGATGCTTGACCGGGTGCCTTCAGCTTAGCAAGTCCAGTCAAACTATCAAGGTCAGCATCAATGTCGAAAGTCGTCAAACACTACGCTATTGATTTTGGGAAGTGTGTGATGCTACAGTCTCACCAAGCGCTCTCGGCAGCCTGCCTGGAATTGAATTAGCTCTTTGAGAGTGATAGATTTCTGTTCAGAATGGGGAGAGATGTCTGATATCAGTTGTAATATGTATCGCTGTTCCTTCAGAATCGGCAACATGCTGCTTCCCACAGTATAATGTTTGGCTGTTAGGATTGTTCAGTTTCTTTGGTATCGTCAGCTCACAGTTTGTTGCGCTTGATGTGTCCATGATTGTTTTCATCTTTCAGTATTCTGCAAGGAAACTGGTCATGATCAGGGGGCCTTCCTCAGGTAGCCGACGCAAACTTCCATCAAAATAGACATGAGTGGTGATACTAGCGAGGACTCAATCCTCGCAAATATGTCAGGTTGAGTTGTCACTTTCAACCTTTACCATTAAGTAGCGTTTCGCTGAATTGAAGTTTATGCAGTTTAAATGTTTTCAGTGCGCGTCTGCATAAATTTTTTGGGAAGGTAGGCGAACGTGAGTGACCCTTTCGAAAGCCCTTCGGATATCAAGAAGGACATTAACTACTTCGATTTTGCTGTCGACTGCAGCCGTTCACGAGTGGAGCGACAAAAAGGTAGGAGAAAGAGAAGCTGCCATTTATTAATTCATTCTGTTGCAGTGAACTGCATGCTTGCAGAGAGATCGGTCAAGCCACTGTGTGCTTCAGAAGTGTATGAAAGTATGGTTATAAATACGTTTTGTTGAACTTTACTCAATACTGACTCTTCCGACTTTTCATGGTTAAGGGAAATGTCCACAACATACTGGTTTACTAAACAGTGTACTAAGAGACAGCTGCGGCATGTCCATAAATGCTTTAGGCATACCATTGTGAATGTTGTAGATATCTTGACCAACTCACATCACTAGTTTTCAGTAGATGGAATCGAACTCTGTGTTCTTGTCATTCAAACCGTCTGTCGTTCGATACTCGTAAGTGATAGGGTCATCCATGCTACTATCACCAAAATATGGTTCGAAGCATTCTACGGGCGATGACTCGTAATCAGTTTCCGTGGTACGCCGTTTAGATACTCACTGTAACCACAGAATTTACTTCCAGGAGTGATCTTCATCCAGCACTATTCAAAAAGTTTTTGGGTAAATGTGTCTTGACCTTCTTGATGGTGCATCTCTTACACCTGGTGGTTATTAGCGGATCGGTGCTAAGAATGAAGCTGAACGCTATTAATACTTGTTTAAGCTATTTAGAGTTTTTGCCACTTAATAAACAGCCGAGTTGCAAAAACACCTAGTTTTCTGTTTATGTAATAATGATGTCCGCGCATTCTGAGTTGCTGTCCCTTAAAAGTGTCACCACTCTGTCGGAAGTGGAGTCCAGTGGTGCTCCTAGGGAGTCACAGCAGAAGTCAGCGCGCTCATACTGTGCACAATTATTCAGCCTGTACCAGCTGTTCTGCTGCCAGTCAACAATTCATTTTCCGGAATGTCAGCTTACCAAAACCAGGCGATCTTAGCCTCAAATTTGAAAACAGCTTAGACAATCTGCTGGGTGGAAACACGATGTCTTGAAGTCTCACATAGGTCCTTGTAACAGAAAAATGATCTGAAGATCACTCCTGATCACCCTATTTGACAGCACTGACTTTTATTTGAATGTTTTTACCCCCGTTATGGATAGTGTGCCTTTGACCCCAGCCGATGTAATATTGTTTGGTCGCTTGACTATCTTCTCTGACTTCTCACTCAGTATTTGCTTTGTACGATTGAAACTTATCAAGAATGTCTCACTTTCCTGTTATATGACGTTAGATTGTTGACAAAGTGGAATTGTTTTACTGTGCCCAACGATTTGAAGTGTGATTGCCATAACACCAAAAAGCATGAGTTCTATTTAAATATTCGTAACTTCATTAAACTTTTATACATAGGTTTCCTACACATAGGCAAATACCTGGTCCAAAATCTTCTATTCTTTCCATTCCACAGTGATATCTTCGGCTTCAGTTTGGTTTCCACTACTTTCGCGTGCACCTTCATCTTCTTCCCCATAAGCTTACCTCTGAGCAGTAGGTTTTGGATATCTCTTCAAGTAACTTTTATGGTGAGTACAATGAACTCACCTACGTGTATCACGGTAGACATACTTCCGCCTAGTTTTTCTGTGGTCCTGTTTGGAATTTCACCTGCGGATTGTTTCTGTCAATTCATTTTTCAGGTTTATTCAACTAGTCCTTCATCCATACTGAGTCCTGGTAATCACTTTTGTCAGCGTGCACTACGCCATCAAAACCTTGTGACGAACGCATACAACCCAAGGCCACGGCTGTACTACCCGCCCTACCTTCAAGAATACTGGAAGATTCAAACGACAGCCAAATAATTCCTACCTTTGAACTGAGCTTGCTTCAGTATGATGAACAATTGCACCGGTGTTTATCTGTTTCGTTTTTTGCTGTCTGCGAAGCATTTACGTTCTTTCGGTAGACGCATCTTTCACGTGCCGGAGAAACGGTGTCCATTGCATATCTTGATATTGTACATAAAAGTCAGTTCACATTACCAAAATGATCAAACCTGTAAACTGGTTCTTTTTTATGTAACTTATGTTGAATGGAACAAATATCATTATCAATGATTTGTTTTGGTTCAACTTAAGGTTATGCTTTGATTTGACTGTTTATCTTCTGACTGTCTACTGGAAACGTCTATTTGTTGGTTTGATTCTGGTGGACAGAGTTTTGATCCCTTCCGTCGGGGATGTTATTATTCACTCTCAGGTACTTAACGACTGTATTTGTTGAACCAGTTTTTCCTGTATGGTACGCACCCGTACTCGAGAACGTTTGGACTGCATAGTTACCCAACGTGACTGTTGAGGTTTTTTGTGATTTTGATTTAAGTCATTTAGTCACAGATTTTGTTACGAATCTACCGCTGAATTACTACAAACCGTGTTTTGATATTTCGATCCAACCTTCGACCGTGCATCACTCGTGGAAGCTCGGAAGCTATACAGCGGAACACAGGAACTGGTCAGATTTGCATCAGTTGGTACCACCCAACTATTTCCCGCGTTCAGGCCAAGATCATCGGATCTTGGCTGTTACAGTCCTGGTGTGGCGAAGCGTTTAAAATCGAAGCGTTTAAAACTTGCTGCGAGCCATGAGACGGGCATGGGTTTTCATCTCCCATCACACAGATAGGTTCCACTATTAGGAACAAAGGCGCGCAATATTCGAAGCTCTCGTTATAACCAGCCGACGTTATCAGTCCATCTGCATGGTTCGTTACTGAGTTATATAACCGTGCATTCACTAGGAAGTCCTTCAATCTGAGCTTTGCTAATAATAATGCACCAGTTTATATAATCAGAAGTACCAGTGAGTAGCCACTATTCAAAAGCTTGCAATAACTGTGCCCGAGCCCTCACTGAAGGCCTTCAGAGACTCTAATCAAATTGAATACAAAAGTAGAAGAACTACTTTGGATGCCACCACTCTCTCGTATCACGATATTACTTATAGTCTTGATAAAAATGCCAAGCATGTCAGGTGTGCCTTTTAAGGCTCCACTTCGATATTTGACTCTCTTTTGCCAGACAAGCTTACCGGGACTTACCAAGGCTACCACCAATCCCAAGTACCTTTTCCTGAATGGGCCCTAACATTATTGCGCGAAGCGTTTGACCGTTATTCCACCAGCTTGTGTTGTGGAGTCAGTAAAGTACGCATTGGCAAAGTATATATTACGTTGATGTAGAGTTAGTTTTCCGCGTGTGTCTACAAGTAAACACGGTATACCCGAAAACTTGTGGGAATTTTGCATAGGAAAATCATACTAGTCATTTTTATCTGCATAAGTTAAAGCGTACACATAGCTCGGCGTCTCTACGAAGACAGGAACTTCTCGCTTCCCAATTTCGTCTTGTGCGGTATATCAATCTCCGGTTTCTGCTCATGCTTTCCTTTTCTCCTTCTCTTTT